TAACTTAGGGTTTACCTTTGTTAACCCCATCTTGGTATTGTATTTAGATGACCCTATTGAACAAAAAAAATTCCATGACATGTTTGAGCTAGTTGTGAACTCAAAAATATGAAACAAGTATGACCTATTTGAAGAAAAGCTCAAAGCAGTAGAAGGTAGCAATATCTACGAGAGTATTGACGCTAATGAGTTTAGACTGGTGCCTAAATTAGTTATTCTAGCAAAATTTAAAACCTTAAATTTTGATAAATATGATGGAATAAAATGTCTTTTTGCACACATTACCATCTTCTATCAGAAGACGACAGGTCATACCTAAAATGATAAGTTCTTGATACATTATTTCCAAGATAATTTAATTGGATTAGCAGTAAGATGGTACGTACAATTAGACTGGAGTTGAATCTATTCGTAGAAAGACTTGGCCAGAGCTTTCATCGCCTAAAATAAGCATGTCATCGATATGGCCTAAATAGGCTATCATTACAAAATATGAAAAAGAAGTCAACAAAAACCTTTAAAAAATATGTGCATCATTAGAGAAAATACGAAGGCCCAAGTCCAACTAACATAACTAAAAAAGAGATCATTGTACTATTTGCCAACACACTAAAAGCTCCATATTATGACAAGCTGGTAGGAAATGTAACAAAAAATTTCTCTAATATGGTGATCTCGAGAGAAATGATAAATAATGCCATCAAGAATAGCAAAATTAAGGGGCTTGAAACCTCCGACACTAAGAAGATAGCAAATCCAAAAAAGAAAGAGCATGAGGCACATGCAGTCACTTATGAAAATTCCTCACTTTATTCATTCGTTCCATATAACCCAAACCCACAATACTCTTCTTATTACCCTACTACCAACCAAATCTCCCAGCAATCATATTATTACCAAGCATTCCAACAACCACCATAAGGCCGAGCTTTAGTCCTCAACCACCAAATTACACCCTTATAACACCAACTTAATCGTTTGCCAAACCAACCCATTGAATCAATAACCAAAGAAACCCACAAAATAATAACAACCAAGAAAAGCCTCATTTTGATCCAATCTTCATGTCTTACACCGATTTGTATTCCCAGTTAATGAGAGGCCACCTTATTGCCCCTCTTTATGCAACACCAAAGTCACATACTCGATATGGTTGACCAAAATGCCAATTGTGACTACCATTATGGTGTGATAGGACACTCCACTTTAAATTGCATAGTACTAAAACATAAGGTGTAAGGTCTAATAAATGATGGGTTCTTAAATTTTAGATCAATTGTTAATTTAAGCTTAAGATCCTTAGCATAGATACTAAAAAATTGTAATGAATGCAATATCAAGAGATTTATACAATATGGGTGTGGAATTAATTGAAGAAGAAGGCTGAATCTATTATGATCTTGTTTTCTTATAACTAAAAGAGATTTCTTCAATGATAGTATAGGCAAGTCTTGAATTTGTTGTGTTAGTATTAATGTTTATATTTGTATTCTTTGAAACCAGTTTGGTTTAGTTGATTAGGCATTAAGTTTATCTATCTCTATAGGTGATTAGACCATATTGAAGAACTTATCTATCTCTATATTTCTACCATATATACACAAAAAGCTGATTTCAGATTTTTAATGAAGCCATTGGATTAATAGCAAAGAAGCAGCTATTGTGGGTAAGTGATCTTAAGACGTTTTGGTAAGTACATGATATTAATATAATGATCGAGAGATTGGATTAATAGAAGGATTACATGTATTGTAGGCTGTGGTGTTTATATTCTTCATTTTTTTATAAGATCTGTTTTGGAGTCATATTTGAGTCCAAATAACAGAGGTTGTACCTAAAAATATATACTAAACATTTGTTGCAAATCGTTATATGTTGGTGCCTCTTCAAATATATGCTTGTAATTCTTTTGCAAGTTTCTTAATTAATTTGATCTTTCTCTTCTGGTTGTCACTAAACAAAACCATTGAGGTTTTAGCTAGCACTTGAAAATTTATTTCTAGATTCAAAAGATGGGAACAAAAAAAAAAAAAAAAAACTCTCATTCCTAACAGCATAAATTTATTATTCTACAGTGTTGCCTATGTTTCTCAAAGATGCGACCGAAAATAGTTGGTGAGAAAATGGAGCTAGAGAAATTCTATGATGCTGTCGATGTTATGTTAGCATTATCGGAAATTGTGCCTTTGAATTATGCTTTACTTGTAACCTTTAGACATGGATATACTTTGAATTTCCAGTAGTAGCTTGAATGACAGAAAGTGGTTATAGAGCATTCCAAATTCATTTCCAAAAGCTTTGACTTGTATAACCATATATCTTGATTTCAATATGTAACTGCCTGATAAAATTATTGCAGAGTGAAAATGGTGGCTTTACAGGATTGGAGCCAGCAACAGCTGGATTATGGATCGATTTAACTATATATTCCAACATATATTTGCAAATTTAACACAATATTAAAAAAATATCCCTTTTAGCCTGTCTTTCGCCATGCACCAATAGAGACATTTTTGACCGGTAAATTCTTTTTTTTTTTTGGTTATGCTCCTCAGTGGCTCCATCCTGTGGAGTTTCTTGCGGACATTGTCACTGAGCATGATTAAGGCACTTAACTTCTTTTTGTAACTCTTTATGAGAAATGCTAATTTGGTCATCAATGAATGAGGCCAAATATGATCCAAATGATTATCTATCGGCTCAATTTTGGCCTCCTGTTTTTCGGACAGCATAGCAGTTAGCAGTTCTGAAATGTTTAAGGAATTTGCAGATCATATATGGACGTGAATAATGACATTTGACTAATCCTGTTCTCTTATGTAGTTCTGTTAGTCACCCACCTTGATGTAGACATATTTTCCTCTCAAGGTCTTTGGCTGTGATATAATTTTGATTCTCTAGTCATTTTTGCATCTCTGCAACTTTGCTATCTGAGATTTGATTTAAGCTTGATTCTTTAGCTTGAAAAGATATTCCGGTTCAATGGGATACTAAATTTAATTTGAGTTAAAACTTTTACATTGTAGGTCTAAGGTGGGTAGAGTTCATTGGAGTCACTACAAGGAAAGACGGAAGTGTTTTGGGATAAAGCTCCTGCATCAGACTTGTTAATAGTTGGTATTTTGATACCATTTTGGTTTGTTTTCTAATTAGATGAATTCCTTAAGGTTGTTTAGGATGCTGTTTATTGTTATTAGGTTCAAATGATATGTTCCTTTCTTATCATGTTATTCTTTTTGTTAACTTTGATTATATGGTAATACTTTTTTTTTTGTTAATTTTGATTGCAAGATAAAATCATTTTGCAAATTATCTAAATGCAAGATTTCCTTTGTTGATATTACGAAATATTAAACATTCTTAATTTTAAATTTTTAAATGGTAATTTACAAAAGCAAAAATATTAAAAAATAAAATAAAATTTTTAAGAGTGATTTTAAGTATAAATATAACTTAATAAATATAAAATTTTTTTATTAAAATAGTTATTTTTACTGACACTTGAAAATGTCTTTAAATGCTTTTTATATATAAAGGCAATTTAAAACACCAGAAACCCACTTAATAAATGTAAAATATTTAAATAAAATATGACTTTTATCAACAATTTAAAATGTCTTTAAGAATTTTTTACTGATAATAATAATTCAAAACAATGGGAAAACTCATTCCGGTAACTTCATATGTAATTTTGGCACTGATAGTTTAACTTTTGAAAAATTTTTATCGATACTCATCTAATCGGCAGTCAAAGAATTGTGGATAATAGTAACATCGGCATTTTTGTGATATTTTACTAACAATTATAAGTACCGACAAAAATAATTTTTCTTGTAGTAATTATTAATAATTAATTTTTTATTATTATTCATTAACTATTACTATCTATTAATTAAATTATTTGTTTTTTATTAAATTCCTATTGAGACACAATATTATATTTTCCACATGAAAAGATATTAATTTACCAAGAAACAGATTCACCATGCTCTTGGATTTTCTTCCACATTCGTGTTTGCTTGACTTCATGCATTTCTCCAATTCACGCAAAGAAATACTCTCACTTTTGATCGGTTTCTTCTATTCTATTTTTGTTTACCATAAATTACTCTGAGATCATTGTATTTCAACAAACCAATATATTAAACCAGACTAAGGGTCCATGTACAAAGTAACTATAGTTATATTCCTATATATCATCAAGGAACTGTTATATTATTTTAGTTGCTAGAGATAGTTATTTATCTCGAATATCACATAGAGTAGTTTACTTGAATATGATTATTTGAGAAAATATTACCTAAATATTATTTAGATAATTAATTATTTATTTTGGTTAATTGTATTTATCATGGTGGTCGCATCGTTTTCCAATAAAAAAATCTTTTATTAGTAATATTGAATAAGTGAAATTTGAAGAATAGAAACGAGAGATGGAAGACATTAGCAAGGAGCAGAAAGCAATTAGAGAAGGACATGGGCAAGTTGGAGAAAAACGAGAAACAATAGAAACAGAATGTGAACAACTCAAGGAGGAAACTAATAGCACTCGTATTCGCCTAACGCTCCTGTTTCATATCCTCACGGTACGACGAGAAGGCGATTTTGCTAAGGTTGATCACTTCCCTAACTTGCTTCAGTTAGTTTAAACATAACTTTGCTTTGTTTGGCATTCTATCATAAGCTTTCTATTAGTTCGTGTTTCATTTCCATTCCCAATTTAAAAATTTTTATTTTTTTCATCTGTGATTTTTTAAATTTACTTCAAATCCTTTCGTATGTGTACATGTTATCAGAATATGCATAGTAGTATGAAGACTACTCTGTTTCAATGCTATATTTTGTTACACAATAGAAGTGCATGAAGAATGCATTTAATTTTATTCTTGAACATTTATGGATTAAATCAACTGCACGCAGAATTTGGTGGAACCTAAAAAATCTTTTTCTTTTTTTGGGTTGAGGCGATTGAGTTTCACTAATTGCCAAAATCAGAAACACAAAACATATATTCTGTTCTCATGATTTAGAAATATAAGTTTCAAAAAGGTATCAACAAACGATTAATTTTGATAAGACAATGGCAACATGAATCATATAGGTAGTTCAAGAATCCTCTATCGACCCTCCAACACTGAGATACTGATATCATTGGTAGCAGGTGATTCAAGCTTGATTGCTGAAGAATTTGTTTCAAGCGTTTTCTTTTCCATAAAAAAGCCAGGTTCTTTGGGTTGACTGAATGGATTCTCGCCACCCAACATTAGAGCCACCGAACACACATATGGCCTGTCATCAGGATTCTGTTGCACGCATAAGAGAGCAATGTGGATGCACCTTAACACTTCCGATGGAGCACACGACTCTTGCAAAAATGAATCAATCAAGTCTAATGGCCTTCCTTCCTTCCACAATGTCCATGCCTTTGACAAAAAACGATTCCGTTATTCTTAATTTTTTAGTTTCCGAGTACATTAGCGGGCGAAGGTCCTGAGAGACTTACATGTCCAGTAAGGTTATAGCCATGGTTAGGTTGGTAGAATCCTCTATTTCTCTTTCCAGTTATGATCTCCAACACCAGTATTCCAAAACTAAAAACATCTGATTTTAATGAGAATTGCCCATCAAAAGCGTATTCCGGTGCCATATAACCACTACAGAAGATCGTTAAAACAGAAGACATCAATGAAGATTTAGTGGTAAATTAAGAAAAACAATGAACACTTACTATGTTCCAACAACTCTGCTCGTGTTGCCCTCAGTTTGGTCTCCTCCAAAAGTTCTAGCTAGGCCGAAGTCTGAAATTTTCGGATTCATCACGCTATCGAGAAGAACATTACTAGATTTAAGATCTCTGTGTACAATTCTCAATCTTGAATCTTGATGTAGATAGAGAAGCCCCCGAACAACACCGCAGATAATGTGAAATCGTATCGGCCAATCTAATAGCTTACTTCTTGTTTTATCTGCCATGTAACAAGGTCACATCATTTATAATGTCCGATAAAATCTTTCAAACTAGACTACTTACTTGAATAATAAAAGAAGATCTTTTGCGAGAAAAGTTATTGTTGTTGGGTTTTTGACGGAGTTCAATACCAAAAATGAAGAAGTCCAAACTTTTATTAGGCATATATTCATAAACTAGCATTTTTTCTTCTCCGCAAATGCAGCATCCAAGAAGTTTTACAAGATTCCTATGTTGAAGTTTGGCTATAAGTTTTACTTCAGTTTTGAACTCATTTAACCCTTGTCTAGAGCTTCTTGAAAGCCTCTTCACAGCAATTTCTTGTCCATCTAGCAGGTTACCCTGAAAAAGTGCAGAACACAGTTGTTACAATGTTTTGAAGCTATTGGTTCTTTTTATTTTCAGTAGGATGTCGCAAAATACCCGGTAAACTGACCCGAAACCACCTTCTCCTAGCTTGTTGTCGTTTGAAAAGTCATTGGTGGCTTTAGCTATTACAGCTATGTCGAACGTTTGGAGTTCCATCCCTTCCTCCTCTTGCCCTTCATTGTTGGTTCCCTTTACTTTTCCAGGTCCACCTGATTTAGTAGAAAATTGCTGACATTAGCCCATATGGAATGTTATATTTCACGATCTTCAGTTTGGTTAAGCATATTGCAAAGAAGACCTTATACTTTCTATGCAATTCCTTTCCAAAGAAATAAGCAAAGTTTCTCTAATACTCCGAAACAGCTTCATATATTGATAGAGGTATTTTATATTCTTAAGAGTAATATAGTCTTTTCCATGACTCAGCAAATCAAGAGCATATTTTTTTTTAATCATTTGGCCGAATCGATGTGATAAGCCGACCTGATTTATCAAAGCATGTCTGGCCAACATGGTAGCTCACCTGATGCCCACATGGCCAAACTAACTTGTTGTCTGGACATTGGGTGTCAACGGACAAGGTCAGGTCGGATCAGGCGACGTCGGCTTGAAATCTCTCCACCTCAGGTCGAGTTCGTTGAACCCGGCCACGTCTTCGCTCAAATTACCCTCACAATCTGTTCAGGTAATCCAAGTCACTCATACGGTTCCTCTCATTTCCCCTACTCTCCTATTTTGCTCCCTTCTTATATGGACTCGAGTGTCGGAACATAAGTACCAAAGACAACCTTGTGATTTCAAGTTGTGCCCTAAAGTCTGGATTTAACCCAAACAGAAATGTTCTAGAATCATAGATGAAATGTGATTTTCGAGGCAAACAGGGCAGTAGAGTTACCTTTTGCATGGGATCTGCAGATGTAATAGCTGAGAAGAGACAAACCGGCAACTATGAAAATAGCAATTGGAACTGTTATCTTCACTTTAATACTCTCATATTTTGTTCCTTCATAGATATGTTTCAATTTATTAAAAGAAAAATAAGTTAACCGCTCAAAGGAAAAAAAAATTAATAAGTTAGCTTATATACCTGTTTCAGAAGAAGACATTCGAATATATAGATCCTGTCCACTGGATTTTAACTGGGTTATATCGATCAGATCACCCAACCAAATGGCACAACCGCTGCCTCCTCCTCTAATATCAGTGTTTGCAAAGGCCATACACGAACAGTTTTGTAAGCACTTGTCTCTGCATTCTTTGAGATTCATACTTTTGTTAACCCAAGAACGTGTTGTATCTGGCAATTTCAGTCCATCAAATTTGATGAACCCATCCCCATTCTGACAATCTATTGGCTTATTGCGCTCGCATCCTTGAGCCCAATACAGTGGTGATTTAGGCTTGAATCCTCTTAAACATTCACAAGGTGGCGATTCTGTATTGTCACATTTCCCATATGCACCACAGTATCCATAAGTGTCACAGATGTCCCTTGGCATGTACCAATTTAGCATCCAAGTGCTGGTTTCTTCATTCCATATGTAGAACTCAGACTGATATGTAGTTTGGTTTAAGATGCTCCTTGCCATCACCGATTTATTTTTGACGTAAAAGATATTGTACACCTCAGTCTCATTCCATACAAAGTTTAATTCAAACATCGACGGGAAGCTGTACTGAAAAGGACTAGACCTTGACTCGCGCGCACCACTGTATCTAAGGCCATCACTTCTGAAGTGCTTTTTTGAACCCTTCCATGCAAATGTATCAGGGAAGTTGTACAGCGCCACCCCCATAGTGAAATCTCCAGGAGTTGGATCATCTGAGCTCTTCCATGCTGACAGTTGTCGTTCATGGCCTGTTTTCAAGTCCCATCCAATTTTCATCCCTGGTAAAATTGTGTCAGTTGGATAGTCAAAGCTTTGCCATAAAAATGTTTCTGAATTACCATCCCTTTCATCTCTGATAACAAGATTTCCAGAATCTAGGAGTTGCACTATTGGATTTCTAGCTTCTTTCTTCAAGTTTGATGACCAAACAACACCATTGCTTTGACTGAGCAGTACAAGATCGCCTGTGCTGTTTATCATTAGCAAACCAGATGAGTCATTGATCGGTTCGCCCCTGTTTGCCACCCAAACCACAGTTGGGACTGGGATATTCTTGTACCAAATTCCCAAGTAACGGTTGTTTGAGCTTCCAGGACTGAAAAAGCCCAGTTCAAAGATTCCGCTTTTGGAAACAAGGCTCCTGCCATCACTAACAGACTGAGTGGAGCTCAGAAGATCCGTTCCATCGGAGAACCCAGAGAGCAGAACTAGTGAAGTAATATGGATTAACAAGAAAAAACTCGACAGAATATCCATTGTTTTGCAGGCTTTTACATCTTGCAGACACATAGAAACCTACATAATCATGGCAAGTTTTACCACGCAGAACTATCGACTTGAAGCAGACGTAATGAGTACTGACTTGCCGTTTATGATACTACAAAAGAAACTGCATTAATGTCAAACTCATTGTTGACTCGTTTTTTTCTGGCCCGATGCAGAGACAGACCAAAGTCCCACCTCCCGAACTAAAAGTAAAAAAAATCTAAATCCACTGAAACTACGTGTACTTGCTCTTCATTTTCAATTTTAATTTCTTTGACATATTTCTTTTTTCTTTTTGGCTAAAGTATATAAAAGGCTCCTAAATTATAATTAAAAATTATCTAAAATTTTAATTTTTATTATAATCTATCAATTCTCTAATATTTATTTGCATTTAATTAAATCTTTATTTTGATAAAAAATTAATATCATGAATTTTTTTAAAAATTATATGTAACTTCAATAAAATAAATGAAAGATTTTTAAGTAATGTAATTAACATACATAAAAATTAAATAAAACAAATTTTTTTCTTTACTTTTTCTCTTACTTTTTTTTAAAATCCTTTAAAGGTTTGAAGATTAATTGATTTAATTTTATCACATGAGTAAATTTCATCTAATTAAAAGTTTAATTAGTTTAAAATAAAAGATTAAAAATTTGATTAATTATAATAAAATGTTAAAATTTTAAATAATTTTTTATTTATAGTTCAATGATATTTTTTTATCCTTTAACTTATTTTATTTTTCTTTTTCGTTAAAACTTATTTAGTACAAATTTGCTATCTTCAACCTCTTTTTCATTCTTTCCGACTTTTTTTTTTAATTCATTTTGAGTTCGTCTATAAAAAAAATTATTTTATGAATTTTTAGACTCCAGTCTCCACCGGTATCGATTGACAAGTATCTTAATAGATTTATTTTTGTATGTAAAAGAAATAGGTATATTTATGTATATTAAAAATTAATTAATTGAATCTAAAGTTCACTCACATTATTCGTACAAATATTTTAAATATATAACGCTTAATAGATGAAATTTAAATTCTATACTTATAATCTTTTTTTAATCTTTAAATTATGATTTATTTTATATTAAACAAAATCAATTAATTGATAAATGTACACTTTTCATTTTATGAATGAACAGAAGTCCGATTTAACAATTGACTTAAGAACTTTTATGGCGCCGTCTTTTCCCGAAACTAGAAAATTTGCACTAAAAACAAAAGCATTGATTGGACATCTAACGATCAAATTAAGACTTCGCTGACTTAATTTATGGTGTATAATGCACTGACTGGAACGTTGCCATCACGTACATACATGTACTCTTGTAAACCAATCTCTCTTTTGAATGCAGTAGTTGCTTATAGGAGAAAAACATTGAAGAAAAGTTCTTAATTACTTTTCTGATTTGATGTCTACCATTATCAAGAAAGATGTAAGGCGCATGAATAGAATAATTCGGTATATTTATTGAAGAAATTATTATAGTCCTATAGATAGAAAAAAATTTGAATATAATGCCTTGTCAAATTTGATGTAACATTAAAAAAATTGACATGCAGTGACGTTGGTAAAACTTTAAAATCTATCATTATAACATCATAAATTTTATATTGACAGTCAATATATGTATTTCAATAAATTTTTAATCGTCAATATATTTTTTATCGGTATAGATCTATATTAATAATTTTTAAGAAGTCAAAATAATTTATAGAGATATACAAACGGTTTAAGATTATCACTAAATGTATACATATTGGTATAGCATCTATTACGTGTTCTACCATTATACCTTTTAGCTACAGTTAATATATGTCAGTATAGATTTGTATATTTTAATTTTTTTTATCTATACCGATGATTAATGGTAATTGGTATAGATTTTACTTATACTGACACTTAAAGTATGTCAGTATATATTTATATGTTTTAATTTTCTCACCTATACCAACGGTTAGTACCCGTTAATATAAACTTATATATTTTAATTTTTCTGACATATACCGACGATTAATACTTATCAATATAGACTTATAATTTTTTTTACCTATACCGACGCTTAGCATCCTTCAGTATAGACTTTTATTTTTTTTAATTTTTTTAGCTATATCGATGGTTAGAAAACTATTAGTACAAAATTCTATGCTTTAATTTTCTTACTTTTACCGAAATTAAGATGTTATACGATCAAGTGTATCAATATAAATATTAAGATGTTAGTAAAATTTTTAAAAATTATATTTTCAATTATTAATATTAATTTATTTATAATCATAATATAATATATTTCATATAAACAAAAAGAAACACAATAAAGTAAAAAAATATTTAATAACATTAAAACTACAATTAAATTATTTATAATTCACAAACTTAGTATAAGTGAAAAACTAAAGTCATTGTACCAAGTCTAATAAAACAAACATCGATAAAATAAACATAGATAAAGACTTACACCACCTCACCCTAAAAAACATAATCATAAGTTTGCACTACCAGACACTTAAAAACCTTTTAATTACCTTAAAACTTTAATAGAACTCTAAACAAGATAATCTTAAAAAATCTATAAATGAACAAATAATTGCAAAACCACCTCAATAAGAAAAAACATACATGCACATATTACAAGCTCTTTTTGAAAACCAAAATATTTTAATTCATACAAAATATCATAAGTCTTGAAAAAGTCAACAAGTGTAGCTACATAATATAACTAACAAGCTTAATTAACCTAGCTCACTAATAGTATTCAATATATCAATCAAGTATCACGAAACACAACAGCCTTATTTCAACAAAGTGCATAACATCCAAAACAAAACCAAATGCCCCTACAAACATAATACGTCGAGTAAATAAATAGCTTTCTAAATAAATGATCTCATTATAGATTTTTACAAAAAAGCATTTGCATAGTATAAAAAAATTCAATTAGAATTCTCATAAATTATCTTATATATACAAAAGGTAAGAAGTTAATCATCCATTAATATACCAGTAGAAATAACTTTATAAACATCTTATTCATTCATATATATAGAAGGTAATCATCCATTTATATACCAACAAAAATAATTTTATAAACATTCTATTCATTAGTGTAATGCATGAATGAACATCCTATTCATTAGTATAATACATGAATGAACAAGAAAATAACCTAATTTGCATATGTAATCTCCTTATTCTTTTAGTTTAATTCTAAATAATAACTTAATGAAACCAACCTAAAATTATTTTAGTCAACAAACTATCATTAAATAAATATTTTCATTATAACATTCAAGTCTACAACTACAAAGCGTGCTTACATCATAAGAAAGCCTTTTCAAAGAAAAAAAAAGACAAAAATGCCTTTTCAAGAGAAAAAGAACAGGCTTTAAATTGTAGTGTAATTTAATAATTATGGCAAAGACGATGGGTCATGTTTCAAGATCACAATTACATTATTCAAAACCTAGATTCAAAATTAATTTTGGCATTCTATCTACGAAACAAGTATCAAACAAAATATTTTCATATATATATCATGTGATGACGAGTTTACCATTTTTATTTTCATTAGGTTGATGACTTGAATTTGAATAATGATAGATTTCACGTGAGCACTATTAGTAGCATGAACTTGAAATTAATTCAAAAAAAATTTCAATAAAGTTCAAGATTCATGAACAAGATGACAATTTACATATATATAAACTAAAATAGATGTTATATACACTTCTTTATTCACCATGTGAGTAACAGTATTTAATATATCCATATTCTCATTAGAAATTTTTTTTTTAAGTATCGATAAGATAGTACTTAAAGTTTTTTTCAAATATTTAATTTCAATCTTCAATTCTTATACCCCTTTCTTATGTTGAATCAATTCAGAAGATGAAGAACCATATTGTTTAGATGAATTAAATACTGTACCCATACAACAAACACACCATTTTCTCTCCAATCTTTTAACTTTTAAATAAACATCATCTTTTCATGAACTCTCTTCGGAGTTCTAAGCATTAGTTTTAGTCAATCTTTGTTTCATGAGTTCTTAAAATTGTAAACAAATATTTTAGTATAAAAAAAATTAAACATAAATAAAAGCGAGTAATAACTAAATTAAATACCATCATTTCAACTGCCTTGTCATTCACAATACTTTCATCTTTACATGTATAAGAAATAATATGCATCTTAACACGTGATGGTAAAATTCCATTAGCTTTTTGTTTCTATTAAGGTACAATATTAATTATTGTAATGACAAAATCAAACATATAAAAAGTAAACTTCATATTCATTTAACTGAGTGAGATAATGATAATTGATCTATGTACCAAAGTTTAAATGATCTTCAAGAATGATTTTGTTTCTGTGCAATAAGGCTTATTTAATTTTGAGCGGTTTGTTTTGTTTATCTCACTTTGTTTCTTTAAACAAATGAATAAGAAAAGATATATTATAATAATTTTACAATTATCATTATAGTGTTAAAACAAATTAATTGTATATTTTGTAAACATTTATCTTCTTTTTAATAGTCAACCAATGTGTAGCAAGAAATAGGAATTAACTTTTGTCTACTTGAAAATCATCAACCTTTGCAGCCATTTCTTCTAGTGTTTTGTGTTCATCATAAAGTTTAGACTTCAATTTATTTTTTCATTGTCTCTATTTACTACCCATGTTTGTTAGTACCCAAGACTTAATTTTTTGAAATATTTTTTCATTAATGAGCTCATCAGAATCAGATTTGTGAAATTCAAACTTTGACTACAATTTGAAAGAGATAATTAGAAAGAAAATGTTAATATATATTACATGAATTGCTACTATTAACTAGAAACTAAAAGATTATTGTCATGGCATTAGCCAGCAACTAAAACATTATCGTATTGATACCTATAATGTTTTTCACATTTTTTTCTTCTTAGCATTCGACATTTCATGCCAATTTGTATAATTAATTGGTGTAAAGTTAGGTATTCTCACCATGCTGCCAATGAATTGAGTTAAAGAGCAAGATTCATCATTGATAGGTATAGTATCATCTTTGACCTTAACAACAACATCCTTCCCTTCTTCCAAATCTCAAATATTAGCCATATGTGTAGGACCTCGAGCTTTTTTATGTTGAACATTTCCTACATTAAAAAATTACATGTAAAGAAAGTAATTAAATTTATTAAAAATTTAAACAAGTACAACATTATAACACAAAAAAAATTGTACTAAAAGAATATAGTATTTTTATACCTAAATTATGTTCAACTTGTTCATCTTGATCTTTCTTATTTGTAGATTGAGAAATTGGTTCTTGAGATTCTTGTAGATGCTTATGTTGTGAAGTTTTTGGATCTACAGGCACATATTATTCTTCAGATTGTGTTTACAGTTAAGAATAAGAGGTACGATTTGCCTTAATGATATTCAATCATCTACACTTTACCATCTCAAGTCTAATAATACATAAAATATACTAAGTATAATATAACAGAGAACTTGATAGTGACAAACCATATAAAGCATAAAGTACAATTTAATATATCACACGATCACACAAAATTAAGTAATTTAAACTAGTAACATAAAAATAAAATTTAATGAACTATGTCTCACATTGCAAAACCTTAACAACAATTTAAACTATTACATAGAATTAAAAAATGTCTTCCCCATTATGTTCATCTATAGGATCTTCTTCTATATGCTTATTTTCCATTTCCACTGTGACTTTCATTCCTTTATCATCAACTTCACTTCTAACCCAATTTGAAGTACCATATGTATCATCAAATTCAACATAGATTTCTTCATTTTCTTGCTCTCTATATAAAGATGATTCATCACCCATATCAAATACATCTCTACGTTTTGCATGCTTGACAATAATCCAACCATTATGTTTTTCATCATTTACATAAAAAACCTTCTTAGCTTGTGATGCAAAGATAAAAAGATCATAAACCAAATTAGTTTCATTATGAGCTAGATGTGAAAAATTCATAAGAGGAAAATCAAATTTATCCTTCTTGCAATCTCTATTTATATAAATCCAATCACATTTAAATTACATAACTTTCATTTTACTAGTATAATTCAACTAATTGATGTCTTTTAAAATCTCATAATAGTTAACTTCTCTCTTAATAGGTTGTGCATCTCTTGTACTTGCATAACTTATCATCTTGGTTGTTACAACAACCCCACTGTTTTGAGTTTTTAAGTATTTCTCATGTGTCTTGGTATGAAATCTAAAACCATTAACGATATAACTAGTGATTTCCTAACAATATTAGTTGGACTACAAACAAGCTATCTAAGTTAATCTATGATGTTTGCATCTCCTTGTTGATCCAAAATGGTAACCTATCTAATTTCATATTTGGTTAAAATAATAATCTAACTATAAAAACTTTAATTACATATTCCAAACCATAATGTACAACTTACATGATCACGAAATCAATCATGAAAAGTTTCACTTTGTAACTTTTGTATATCATATAGTGTAAGCGGAAGAGACCGATTACACCTTTTAAGAAATTGCTCATATTTTTTATATGAAAAAAATTCTTAGAAGACTATACAATATACTACAAAAAAAAATTATCAAGTATAATATGTATGTAGATAAGTGATCTTACTTTATAAAAGGAGCAACCTTAGCAGAATTAAATAGCACATATCAATGTGCTTGAACCAAAGTTATAACATCAAGTATAATTCGTGAGACTCGTTTACCTTTATGTTTTAATGTTCCCAATGGTCTTTCTATGGTAGAAAGAATGGATATTTCTTCCTCTATCAAAGGATTCTTATTTTTTTTTCAAATGGGTCAATTAAAAATAGTTTTCATCCCATCAAAGTATCTTGAACAAAAAATTATGCATTCATTTGCTAAGTACCCTTCTGTAATTAAACCTTCAAAATAAGTTCTATAGTGCACATATGATTTAAGAGTAAGAAAAAAACCTATATAAATGGAAGTTCAATAGAAAAAATCATTAGCAAACATCCTAGTTGAATTTTAAGTAAAAAAATCTATAACACTTTAAGACATACCTCTTAATAGGACACATCTACCGATAAATGACTGGACCAACAATTTTGCTTCATTTACCAAATGGACAACTAAATGTACCATTATTATAAAAAAATATGAAGAAAAAATCTTTTCCATTTCACATAAAATTGATGCAGCCCAAGACTTAAGTAATTCAAGCTTAACTCTTTAAGAACTTTAGAACAAAGTTCTTTGAAAAAGGTACACAAATCAATAAAAACCAAGTACACCTTATCAAGTAAAGACCATTATATTGCTATAAGAAGGAACTCTTGCATCAAGAGATGATAATCATAACTTTAGAGCCCTACTAGCTTCCGTTATTTAAGTTGCACACAACATAAGATATTTGAAGAGTATTCATCTAGAGTTGTCATTTCTTGAAAAATCTTTAAAAAAAGAATTTTTTTTAATTAAGCTAATCTGATATGAAGCTTTAAGGTAAATATTAGGTGTTAATGCTAGGACGAGTCTTTGGATGAAGAACATTCTTATACCCATTTCGACAAGCTCAAGTCATTATTTGTAGTTATCCTTTGACTTCGTTTTTTTGCCCAATCAATATATTAAGAATGTTATCACAATCATTCTTTTCTATATGTATCACATTAAGATTGTGATCGCAATAGAAGATATTTAATATTTTAATTCAAAATAAATTTTTTGGATAAAAAATAATATTTTTTTATTATGATTTCCACGTAAAATAATATTTTTAATAAAAAAATATTATTTTAGTATTTAAAATGGTATGAATTTTTTTAAAAGGATTTTGAAATTTTTAACTTAATTTTAATTTTTGAGAATCTATTTTTTATTAACAAATTATGTTACAATAAAAATATAAAATATTATTTTAAATTTAATATTTTATAAAATATATCTAAATTATAAAAAATTTCAAGATAGTAGCATCCTTGGTTTGTAAACTTTTAAGCAAAGTTTTATTTTGATCTTTTTCTGCTATATGAGATGCCAATTGACGTCATTCCCATGGCATCAATTGGTGTTGACCATCAATTTAAACGATTCATAGAGAAAAAGATCAAAATAAGATAATTTTGAATAATTAGGGATCAAACTAAAACTTTTAAAGATTAGAGACTAATATAGAATTTGATTTAAAATTTAGGAACAAAAGGTGTTATTAATTTTATTACATGATAGTTGATACTCATGTATAATTATAAGAAATTATATAACTTATTCCAAAATATTACATTGATATATTCACCCATTATAATTAAAAATATATAAATTTTATTTTAAATCATATTGTAAATTACAAATGTATATTAATTTGATAAATTTTTTAATAATTTTAATAAATCATTGCTTGTGTTATATTTATTATTTTATTAAATTAATATTCTAAATAAAATTATATTTAATTTGGTCTCAATTATTTCGAATTAATTTTGAATCATTTCGTTGTTGAACTTTTCGATTTTGTATCATTTGGAATTCAAGAATTTGAGTTGATTTGGGTAAGGTGGTTTTCAAATTTTTAGTTGGACGGGTTAACGTTGTTGACATTTTATGATAAACCGAGTCGGCTTGGCTTTGAATCGCGGCAAATTGGGTGACTTTTTTGGGCCCAGACTTGACATGTCTTTTTCTTTTTTCGGTCGAGAAAGGAATCGTGCATAACTTAAACTAAGGTAAGGTACATCCTAACCCTATCAGTATCATCTAGTAAGAGGGGCATAATACAAATCAAAGGGTAGTCTGGAACAAGGAAACTTTTGGCAATGCGTAGTCTGACCTTAAGACAAGTTTATTTTTAGGGTTTGCATTTTATTTTACTTTTTTTTCACTAGAATCAAGAGTCTTCTGCTAATAAATCACACAATTATTTATTTGCTCTTTTAAGCTTGCTTGTGAAAAGTTTGAATTAATTTTTTGTTAACATCCATTTGAAACAAAATTTTTAAGAAAAAAGAATTTTTTTTTTTAAAATTTTTGTATTTGGTTCACATGAAAAATATAGGATTGTTTGTGAAATTAATGGATGTTCATGGCTTCGTCCAAGAAACGCTTTCATAGCTTCATCGGCGAAAACTAAGTTTGGAAAGACTGAATTAAGAAAAGGAACTATGAAGGTTGGTAGAGAAGGACATGGCTATTTGAAATAAAGAAAAGCAAATAGAATTGAAAGTTGAACATTTTGGAATTCAATAGGCTTGGAGAATAATAATTTTGCACATTCCACATACAATTTGATCTTTAATCACTTTTTGATGTACATATACATGAGGGAAAGGGAGAGAGGAAATGAATTTTCAATTTCTTTTTCTTTTTTAAAATTCTTTTGCTAATTTTTAGGGTTGAATTACGATATATAATCTTTGGGCATGATTATGTCAAAATCACTAACAGTCCATTCGGCTATTTCATCATTTCTGATGTATATTTCAACACCCAAATCAATTGATGGCCAATGTCTCTCCACAGGTTTTGTGCCTGGATCCTGCCATATCAACCAACATGTATAAGAAATTAGGATGAAAAAACAACCATAAATATATAGTTGGCAAGTATTAATTAGAATTTTTTTTAACTTTTTGTAAGATTTATTTGATTATAATTATAAATTATAAAACTTAAAACTTAACTCAATTGATTTATGCAACCACACTTAAAGAGTAGCATCCAATAATTTTGAGGTTTAAATCACATCGCTTGTAACTTTTCTCTTATTTTTACATTACAATCTCTTTTGTACAAAAAATATATATATATAGATTTGCATACCTGGTAAAAATAAATTGATTGAGATAGTCTACCAACATCAAGCTCCCAAGTTCTTGGATCTCCAATCCAACCTTCGCCCTTCTTGGTAGGATACCCATAATCACCCCAAACTTTATGGGGTAAAATCTGCAATATCTCCTGTGGTTGAGGATTGCTATAGGCATCACATAAGTTGTATGGTTCCTCAAGGTGCTCACCATTGCCTGGGGAGCAATAAATATGGTAAGCATCGTAGGGAAAGTTGTTCTTATCTGTTCGATGGATACGAGTCCCATTCGGAAGTGTGTGGTAAGGCGGACAGGCATCGAGATGGTCCGGCTTGCACCATGCTTCGACGTTAGGGTTTATGATCATCTCACTGTACCTTGTAACATCTGTGGTCACATCCCCATCACAAGGCTTTCCATTGTTTTTCCAACAACTTCCCATGTCTAAGAGGTAAAACTGGCTTTTTGGACCTCCTCCTTTGGTTATGTTTAGTGTAAATCTCACTTTGAAATTGGGTGACCTTGGAACCTATGGTATATGTCAAATGTGGAACAATTTAATTATTGAATTATAGATATTTTTTAAAATTTATTTCATCCATTAATATCAGTGAAGTTTTTAAACTTTTTTGGGATGTATTAGTATCTTAATCACATTTGTAAAAAAAAAAATTGATGACAATCTATTAAAATTAATGAACTCTATTTAAACATGATTGAAATTTGGTATGCATTTGTATGTATTATTACCACGAATGAATAATACTTGGACCATCAATTTTATTCCAATTAATTATTTTTATTTCCTAACTTTACATACGAAAAATTCCAAGGAAGAAGCATGGGTTCAAAGTTTTTTAGACCTCAATTATCCTAAACAGAAGTAAAAATTGTATCTATATATTTCATTAGATTGGAATTTGAGTAATGAGAAGAAGAAATGACTTACGATTTTAGACATACCCCTTGTCTGATAATGATACCCACCAGAAAACCCTGTTGTGGCATCGGATCTTAAGTACAGCATTAGCCATGGATACCTCGATGATGTCTTCAAAAAATGATGAAAAATCCAACTTCCTTTCCCAATTTCTTTTACCCATGTCACATTATAATAAGAAGTGTCATTGCCAATCACACCATTTCTAACATTAGCGTCTAAATCCCATGTTCCATAGAAACTTCCCCTCAGTGTATTGTTATCCTTCCCGTGAATGCTAGTATAGTCATGGTATATCGTAGGCATGTTCATGCAACCTTTGCCGAAGCATGGAAACCGAGAATCCTGCCGGAAGGGCTTCGCTTTCTTGCCGTTTTCCGGGCATATAGCAGCTAATGTGTCCATGTTACCACTTTTGAGCATTATCATCCAAAATTGCCATGGCCTTGGTTCATCTTCAACTTGGCATTTTTTTCCCAAATAAATTTCTTTCTCAGCAGCATATAAATCAATACTTTTTGCCTTTATTTCTCCATACGACCCATTTAACATTCCGAGCTTGTTATCAACATTATCCACCTTGTGAATTAACCTGACTTTACTCCAAGAAAACAATAAGGAATTGACGAAGTTTAGTGGAGACGTAACAAATTAATAATCGATTTGATAAAAATATGATTCTAATTAAGCCAATAGTTTAAAATCAAATTCCTCCAATGTTCCATAAACTAATTCACTCATTTCAGGATTAAAAATTGATATTAAAACTTTTATGCAGATCACTTTAAATTCTCTTTTTTTTTGTGCGTATGATATTTTTTTTATTATTGCGCTTTTGCTTGCTTGAATGACTATTGATTGGGTTTTGACATAACAAAGATGATTGACATTTGACAATTAAGATGATTTACCTGAAGATGTTGTATTGTCAATGTCGAAGCAATCTGCCATCCTTGGACTTCCCATGTCGGAAACCTCTTCACCTACCTCATTGCATTGGTTCCACGACTCAATAGCCACCCTTAGATTATCTCTTCTCATTCCAGGATCTCCGATAGCCGATATGTAATGTTTGGTACTAGCCATAACATGAAACTCAAAACAGCAAAAAAACAGCATTATCAGACGCAGACAGCCCCATCTCCAGTATACCTCCATTACCAATTTTCTCTAGCTAGAACTTCCAGATATGGAGAATATATGTTTTGTCACAAATACCAAGCTGCTAGTCCTCCTATTTTATAATGTCTTGTGGCAATAAAAAGAAGTTGTTATGCCAACGAGGCCATAAAGTTGTTAAGCCAGCGGGGCCATGTCTTAGCAAGAAAGATATGGTTTTAATATAATTTTATGTTGGATTTATCTAATTATATATTAATTTGTTTGGTTTTTTTTTTTAAATATGTAATACTTAAATTTGGTTAATCATGAATGTAATATCTACTTGCATATATAGTTTTTTTTCTCTCTTTAAAAAATGGGTTGCTATTATCCGCAACTTTGAAAATCTTTATGCATTGCCAATTGAATTGAAATTAGGGAGCTGTAATAGGATTTTCCCACACGTTTAAGGTTTTGACCTCTTTAATTGGAGTTTGGTAGGAAACTTTTGCTAATATCCCTTTGTCTCCATTTCATTTCTGGCAGATATATATGTTCCCAAATTTTCCTTCTGAGCTTTAGCAAACATTGTCATTCGGGCCTTTTATAAATTAATTTGTTCTGATCACACTCTTTTTTTATTAAATAGACAGAAGGAGAAAGAAGGATGCCATTTAATTCTATCCTATCATCTGAACTAGATAATAAGGTGTCATAATTAGCAAGATTCCAATAATTAATCATTTTAATTAATCCCTTTTTTGCTATATATCATTTTTGTCTTCTTTTCTCCATAACTAATTTGACTGTAAGAAATTAACTGTAGCCAATTATCAGCCAATAATATAATTTACAAGTTTCAATCTCATTGTATTACTAATTATTAGGTAATGGGTAGGTGATCATGTGGCCAACGCGGAAACCGTATTAAGGATAGAGAGGCAATACAATAAATTTGTTCATGGGCCCAACTACATACTCTCTCCCATTTCGATCTACTCATGGATTGGGTTCTTCATTCGACCCAAACAATGTCTTAGCCGAGGGAGTTTAAGTTGAAACTTAACTCAGCTCAGAATTATTATTTTATTAATAAATTTTTATGTAAATTTAATTTTACTAAAAAAATTAAAATATTAATATAGTTTATTTTTTAATATTTTTAATAGTAATCAAATTTATTTGGGCACCCATTGATGAATCGGACCTCAAGCATAATTATAAATGTACTAATTAAATATCTATTGATCCAATATAACTCATAAACACCTGACTTTCTTTCAAGATAGTCTTGTTTCAAGTTATACTAATTTTTTTACAAAAATTTATATTTGATATAGTGGTAGTATAAAAATTTTATATATTATCAATAGATAAGATAATGTCATTTTATTAATGAATAAATATTAATTTTTAAAATAAATATATAAAATAAATATCTTTTTTAAAAAAAATTATTTATTAATGAAATGACATATCTGATTCATTTCATCAATGAAATAAAATCATCTAATTCACTAATAATATATAGAATCTATACATTTACAATGCACCAAATATAAAATTTTTTTGAAAAAATTTATATTTGTTATACTGTCAATAAATAAAAAAAAATTACTTCGTTAATGAGCAGATATTATTCCTTAAAATAAATATATAAAATTTAATATTTTTTTAAAAACTTACTTATTATTAATAAGGTGGTATCATTTGATTCATTTTATTGATGAGATAGCATCATCGAATTCACTAATAATATACAAATCTATACAGTGACAATGCGTCAAATATAAATATATTTTTAAAAAGTTTATATTTCATTCACTGTCAGTATATAAACTTTATACACTATCAATAAATCAAATGATATCTCTTTATTTATACCTCATTTATATACTAACAATATATAAAATCTATATACTGACAGTGTATTAAATATAAATCTTTTTTTAAAGAGTTTATATTTGATATTAGTATATAAACTCTATACACTATCAGTAAATTATATGATCTTACCTCATTAATGAGTAAATATCAACTTTTAAAATAAATATTCAAAATTAATATTTTTTAAAAAAACTTATTCTTTAATGAAGTTGTATCATTTAACTCGCTTTATTAATGAGATTGGATTATCTAATTTATTAATAATATATAGAATCTATATACTAACAATGCATTAAATATAAATCCTTTTTTTTTAAAGAGTTTATATTGAATATATTATCAATGTATAAACTAGACCTGACAATTCATGTTGTTGTGTCGTGTAAAACATTGTGTTCAAATCATATTTTACATGAAAATCACATATCATAGTTCATGTCGATATGAAAATATAAAATACAAAATTTTAATTTTATTAAACATATTTATGGTTTTTTGTAAAATTTTAAACAGTGTTATCTCTATGTCCTTTATTTGTATCTTTTTAGTATCATGTCACCGTGTCATATTTTAAATTATCAAATCTAATAAAAACTCTATACATTGTCAATAAATCAGAGATACCGTTTCATTAATAAAAAAAAATCAGCCATTAAAATAAATATACAAAAATTAATATTCTTTAAAAAAAAAAAAACTTACTTATTAACTAAATGGCATTATTCGATTCACTTCATTAATGAGATAGTATCATCTAATTCAGTGACAATGTATAGAATTTATATACTAATAATGCATCAAATATAAGTATTTTTTGGAAGAGTTTATATTTGATGAACTGTCAATATTTTAACATTATACACTATTAGTAAATCAGAGAATATTACCTTATTAATGTACAAATATTAACCTTTAAAATAAATATATAAAAATTAATATTTTTTAAAAGTTTACTCATTAATAAGGTGGTATCATCTAATTTATTTCATTAATGAGATAATATCATTTAATTCACTGATAGTATATAAAATTTATGTACTGATAGTGCATCAAACATAATTTGTTAATTTTATTTTATTTGAATTTATTATTTTATTTGATAAATAATTTGTTTTTAAAATAATAATATCTTATATCTTATAACTAGATCGATTGTATGAAAGGTAATAAAATAATTATTAAATATAATTTTATTAAAAATTTTAAGTTTATGTCCAGAGACTTTGACTTAGTTCTCCCAGATTCAAACTCGGTCAGTCTTAAACAATTTGGCATAAACTCAGTTTATTGCCTTTAGAAAAAGTTAGGGCATTTTCTTAATATTTTTATAATATTTTATTTATTATGCTTAGGGTAATTATCAATTTAACTAAAAATAAAATATACACTAAAATATTTTAAAATAAATAAAACAAAGTTTTTATAAAAGGAAACTATTCTTAGCCACCGTAGATCAAGCATCGGAGTATTATCCTCCATTGACGAGGGAAGGAAGACTGACGGTGAAACCGCTAAAGGAAGTGTTTGAGGAAGGAATTACGCTATGGCAGAGCTCTCTAATTGTGCAATTCATAGGGAGAATTCCAAATTTTAGTTTGTGTCAGAAAATGGTTAATATGCTCTAGGGAAAGGATGGAGAGGTAGACATTAAACCGGCTGGGCAAAATCTGTTTGTCGTTTAGCTTCCAAGTACAGAGGCGAGGGATTGGGTACTTGAGCATGGGCCATGGCACATACAGAACAAACCACTCATTATAAGCAAGTGGGAACCAGGTATGAAGTCATTGGAATTCAGTATGGAAAAGCTGCCTGTGTGGATTCATCTGGGTAAAGTTCTTCTGGAACTATACTCCAACAAAGGACTGAGTTATCTGAATAGTGTATTGGGGACACCACTATACGTGGACACAATCAATAACTGCTAGGCAACAAAGGTTCGCATACACAGAAGTCTGTGTGGAAGTGAGTGTAGGGCTGAAAATTCCAAGATATATGGATGTGGTATTGTGGGATGGATCCATTGGACCAATATCAGTAGAGATCCCTTAGATGCCACCAAGATGGTTTAGTTGCAACTTGTTTGAACACTAGGATAAAACTTGTCCAAAAAATATGAGTGTGATCGATGCAAAGGTGTGGGTGCCAAAGACGACTGATGATAAGGCTCCTACTACCATAAAGTGGACCAAATGAAGGAAGTGGCGCTAGGTGCAATCAGATGCAAGTGTGGAGAAGAAAAAGGATAAAGCAGTAGTTCTAAATTGCACACCTGGTAAAGCTAACTCTGCCAATCGATTTGCTATTTTAGAGACGATGAAGGAATTAGATGCTAAGGGAAATGAGGCATAATCCAATGTGATAATGGAGGATCAATCGCCAAAGAAGCTGCGAGCTGCTGCTGCTGCTGCTGTGGTCGACTTTATGAAAGCTATTAAGGGTAAAGAGAAAGGGCCAATAGATAAGGGGAAGAAGCAAGTTAAGGCAGGTTCTTCTGCCTATGGAGGTGCTCATTCCATCTTTTCGCAATGAAATGTTAGCCTGGAATACAAGAGGATTTAATTGTCCTCTTAAGAGAAAAGAGGTAGTGGATAGAATAAGGAGACTAAATAAAGATATGGTTTGTTTAATTGAAACCAGAGTCGAGGAGCACAGAATGCAGGCCATATTGTGAATCATTTTGATGATTGGGGATTGCTTCATAATTACTCAGAGGCATACAATGGGAGAATATGGTTATATGGATAGTATGAAGGCCACATGTGCAGATTGAGATGACGGAGATCATGGATCAAAGTATAACCTGCAGTATTCAGTTTGAATCCCAAAAAATTTTCCTGACTGCCGTTTATGGAAGGAATGACGGTATTGAAAGGAGGAGACTATGGTCACATTTGCTAGCAGTGAGTGGCACGAAATCAAATAGGTTTTGAATCCTTGCATTAGACTTCAATGTCATAGCCCACCCAAATGAAAGTTCAGAGTTTAATGACTCTCAGGTTGCTAACTCAAAAATGAGAGAGTTTCAGGATTGGCCCGGATTGATTATGCAGCTATTGGTCCGTTGTTTACTTGGACTAATCATCAATTGGAGGGTATTTTGGCAAGGAAGCTGAATAGGGCAGTCAGGCTAGTTAGTCTTGCTCAATCCGAGGTGGAATTTCTAGCCCCAAAAGTGTCTGATCATTGTGCTGCACTCCTAAATCTTAAGGAAGACCACCACTCAACTCACGTCTTAAGCCATTTAAATTATTTAATTTTTGGACTGGGAATCAGAGTTCATGAAAATTGTTGAGAACTCTTGGAATACGCTAACTACAGGCAATCTATTATCTAAGCTTTACAAGAAATTAAAGAGGCTAAACGGGGAACTAAAGAAGCTAAATAAATTGAATTATGGGGATTCGACAATGAAGGTGCAAGAAAAGAGAGAGGCATTGGACTTAATTCAGACGCAGATATTGGCTAACCCGCGGAGTACTGAAATGATACAGGAGGAAAGCAAACTGGCAGCGAAGCTCAGGGTGCTAATAGAAGTTGAGGAAAGTTACAACAGACAAAAATCCAGAGTGTAGTGGATAAAAGAGGGAGATCAGATTACCAGATTTTTCCATAATATGGTAGCTGTAAAACAAAAGAGGAATACGGTGAGAGTGCTTATGGATAATGAGGGCAGATTGGAGAGCTTCTCTCAAATTGCTAGAGAGGTAGTGACAAATTTTCAAAAAATAATTGCCATGGCAGATCAGGAGGTAATAGGGTGTCCACAAGAGCTGCTTGAAAAACTGCTGCAAGTGTCAGTATAGGCTGAGAATACAGAAGCTCTTATAAAACCAGTAACGAGAGGAGAAGTAAAAGCTACTATGTTCTCAATTAATAGCGACGAAGCACTGGTCCAGATGGATTTACGGCACGTATTTATAAACAAGCCTGAGGCATTGTTGGGAAGGAAGTGACTGAGGCCATACAGCACTATTTTGACATAGAGAAGATACATTCAGCCTTCAACTCAACCATTACGGTATTAGTACCAAAGAGCTCAAATCCAAGTAGGATAAAAGACTACAGGCCTATTTCATGTTGTACTGTCGTTTACAAATGTGTCACAAGAATATTGGCAAATAGACTCAAAAAGATTTTACTAGCTATAATTAGTGAAAGTCATAGTGCTTTTATAGAAAGGAGTATTACAGATAATGTACTCATGGCACAGGATATGGTAAGGGGATATGGCAGAACTATGTTATAAAGATAGATTTGTAGAAGGCGTTTGATACTGTGGAATGGAAATTCCTTTATGCTATATTAGTAGCAATTGGATTGCCCTCACAATTCATAGGATGGATCACAGGTTGTATTACCACCTCTATGTTCTCAATTTCTCTTAATGATGGCTTAGTAGGATTTTTCAAGGAGCTAGGGGAGTGCGACAAGGGGATCCACTCTTGCTTTACCTGTTTGCATTGGTTATGAATGCCCTGTCGAGGCTGCTTGATGCTGTTGCATAGCATAAGGTGTTTGACTACCACCCAAAGTGTAAGAGAATTGGACTGACACATTTGTGTTTTGCTGATGATCTGTTGATCTTTGGTAAAGGCAATAAGGAGCCTTTTATTGGGATCAAGGAGATGCTGCAGGTGTTCTACTCATATTCTGGATTGTTGCTAAATTTTGATAAAAGTGAGCTGTACATAGTCTAGGTAAGCAAAGATGAAGTCCATGCAATGCAGCAAGCTACAGGGTTCAAGCTGGGGGCTTTACCAGTCAGGTATTTGGGGGTGTCGCTAGTAACGAGAAGGCTGACGGAGAGAGATTGTGCTCTTCTCATAGAGAAGATTACTGCAAGAATCAGAGGATGGGCTATGAAGCAATTATTAGTGCAAGCACTTTGTGCTCCCAAAGCATGTGATTAAGAAAATCAACCAATTATTTTCAAGTTTTTTTTTTTTTTTTTGGAAAAGGGACTGCCAGGAAAGCAATAGTTAGCTCGGAAGTGATTTGTTATCCAAAATCTGAAGGAGGGCAAGGTCTGAAGAATTTAATGGTCTGGAATTCGGTGTGTATATTAAAAAATATATGGTCAATCTTGTCAAAAGCTGGGTCAATATAGGTAGCATGGATTGAAGAATATGAATTGAAAGGCAGATGCTTATGGCAGATTTCACCTCAGCAGGGTAGCAGCTAGAATTGGAGAAAAATACTTCAATTAAGGCACATTGCACTCCAAGTTATCAAGTATGATAATGGGGTAGAGGTGTGGCCTTTTCTTGGGAATGGCTATTCAACTACTTCATTGTGGAATGAAGTCCGACTCAAGAATGGCATAAGCTAATATGGTTTCAGCACCATATACCAAAACACTCTTTAATAGCTTGGATGGTTATTCTCAATAGACTTCCAACTAGAGATAGATTAAGAGTATGAGGGATGGAGGTTGATGAGAAGTGCTGTATGTGCCAACAGGGAAATGAGTCTAGGAATCATTTGTTTTTTGAATGCGAGTATGCAAAAACAATTTGGTAAAGATTATTGCAGAGCTACAGAATAGGAAGAAGAATAGGGGAATGGGAAGTAAATTTACAATGGGCAGTGAGATACTTGAAAGGCAAAGCATTGATTTCAATCCTTCTGCGCATTGCCTCGAGCGCGTGCATTTGTCACATATCGAGGGAAAGAACTGCAGGTGTATAAGAATGAATAAGAACCAGCTGAACGTGTGATTGAACGAGTTAAGGAAGTAGTGAATAACAAGTTGGATGGTTTACATTCGATTGCTGCTAACCTAGTAAATAAGGAATTATGTGCTACTGAAACATCAACACTAATATACTGTATGATACGCAGTTAATGATTGGTAATAGATAGTGAAGATAATGCTAGTTGATTGGTTGATTGTTTGCGATTGAAGTGTAGCCGAATGGATAATAAAATTTAGCTTATCCAACAAAGATAAAGATAAGGGTTCAGATTGTAGCTATTGAAATTTATTTTAGATCAGTTGATCTAAAAATGATTATATTTTAACTAAAAAATATTTGTATAAATTAACTAAATTAAGCCTATATTAATACATAATATTTTACTCTCATGCTAGTTGCAGATATTTTTTAAATAGGTTTCAAAATTTGGGCTTTAGGCTCTATCTAAATTCTAAAACCAAATGCTAGTAAATGGGCCGATAAGCTCTAAAATCCAGCTATTCTAAAGCTAGCCGGCAGCTTATCCGTTCTTCCCTTCCAAATCCCACATATTCTCTCTGATTCTCTCAGCTTTGAGGCTCAGCGGAAAGCCACAGCAACCCAGGTCGTCCTTTCTCTGTTTTTGTTTTTTCACATTTAGTATTTCATATTCAAAGAACGCATTGTTAATTACTTAATTACTTAAAATAGCTACACAATTTTTTTCTTTTTTACCTTGAAACAGAACACTGTTTATGGCTTCAAGGACTTTCCTTTACTTCCACCACGGAAAACTCTTCCTTCCCTTTACGACCACCAAGTTTATTCCTTCTTCTAAAAGACCCTTAAAAAATTTCAGCTTATCTTCCATAAGCTGTAGCCTAAACACTTCTCAGCATATTCTTGAATCAAAGTCTCAACTGGGTAGTCCCCCAAATGTTATTAAAATACTTGAAGAAAGAGGATTGCTAGAATCCGTAACCAATGAACATCTCAGGTTGGCTTGTTCAGACCAAACTGCTGGTCCTCTTAGGGTTTATTGTGGTTTTGACCCAACTGCTGAGAGCCTACATTTGGGAAACCTTTTGGGGCTCATTGTACTTTCTTGGTTCCAAAGATGTGGTCATAAAGCTGTTGCCTTGATTGGTGGTGCTACTGGTAGAATTGGTGACCCTTCAGGAAAAAGCCAAGAAAGACCTGAACTCGATTTGAAAACATTGGAAAAAAACATTGTTGGGATTATGGGTACTATAAATAAGATTCTAAGTAAAAATTCAGATATGGGTTCTCAAAAAAACTCAAACTTTGTGATTTTAAATAATTATGATTGGTGGAAAGAGATTAGGTTGCTTGATTTTCTTAAACAAGTCGGTAGATATGCTAGGGTGGGGAGTATGATGAGTAAGGAGAGTGTTAAGAAGAGGTTGGAATCAGAACAAGGAATGAGCTATACTGAGTTTACTTATCAGTTGTTACAAGGTTATGATTTTTTATACCTTTTTAAGAATGAAGGTGTTAGTGTTCAAATAGGTGGAAGTGATCAGTGGGGTAATATTACTGCTGGTACTGAATTGATAAGGAAAATTTTACAAGCTGAAGGAGCTTGTGGGTTAACATTCCCTCTTTTGTTGAAGAGTGATGGCACTAAGTTTGGGAAATCAGAAGATGGTGCAATTTGGCTTTCACCTTCTATGCTGTCTCCATATAAGTTTTACCAGTATTTCTTCTCTGTTCCAGATGCAGATGTGGTGAGGTTTCTTAAAATTCTTACTTTCTTGAATATGGAAGAGATAAAGGAGTTGGAGAGTTCAATGATAAGACCAGGCTATGTGCCTAATACAGTACAGCGGAGACTTGCTGAGGAAATGACTCGTTTTGTTCATGGTGAAGATGGTTTAAAGAAGCACTTAAAGCAACTGAAGCATTGAGGCCCGGATCAGAGACAAAATTGGATTGGAAAACTATTGAAGGGATTGCTGAGGATGTTCCATCTTGCTCCTTGCCATACAATCAAGTGTTGAATCTTTCGATTGTTGATCTTTCTGTCTCTTCTGGTTTGTTTGAGAGCAAATCAGCTGCCCGTCGTCTATTGAAGCAAGGAGGTGTCTACTTGAACAACAATAGAGTAGATAATGAAAGTAAAAGAATAGAAGCCGAAGACATTGTGGATGGCAAAGTTCTTCTTTTATCTGCTGGCAAGAAGAACAAGGTGGTTGTAAGAATGTCTTGACTGGTTGTAGTGGTACTTGATTCTTGTATGTTAAACAAAGTTTTGGATTTAATGATATATTAACAAAAGAAAGTTAATATTTTCTCATAAGGTGATTCTCATATCAGTTGCAAAAGTATTTATTGTTAGCCTTTAGACATGGTCTTTTTTTGTGTACATCGTTTCTTTTCTGTCTTGTTTACAAATTTATATCCTTTGATTTTTTGAGGAAGGAATGGCCAGGTTTTCAATTTTGCTATCTGCCATCACAAATTGTTGAAAATACACTTGCTATTAAATTGTAAAATATGATATGATATACGGATGGCTAAACATAATGGTCTTAGCATGCATGTTATAAACTGTGAAATGCCACATTCTTTTCAAGTGTGTATACACTATGCAAATGCTTAGTACTGGGAGAGGGGCTTCTGCCATTGCCTGTAAGTGTGAAAAAGAGTGTAAAAATCTAAGACCTTAAAGGCTAATACCTAAGCTGGAAGCACGGGAAAATGCTGATGTCCGTCTGCATAAAGTTTATGCTTTTGGCATTGAATTCTGAAAGTTAAGGATCACTCAAAAACCCCCCAATATTATTTTGTGGATATGCCTGGAACCTCGAGCATTGTCATTCTTGTTTCAAATTGGTTTGATGCGCAGATCCTCGCAGGAGATCTAACTATTTTACTTTATCTAATACTATGCTTTATGGCAACCTGTTCTGAGCATTTTAGGCAAGGGATTAAAGGTGAGGTAGTAATTGTCAGAAATGGTTTTGACTATCCTTTGGCTTGAGCTCGGCTTCATTGGTGGCATGCCATTCAGTTTGTGAGATATCAAGCGAGAAAGGTTGCTCGAAGTTTGACACTGAGAGCCCTTGACTATCTCAAATGGTGTAAGGCAAGTTCGTGATGTTATTATCTCTTTCTATTGCCATCTTCATTGAAGGGCAGTATAAAATGAGCGTAATCATAGTTCTACTGATAATTCAAGCTCTATGATCTAACCAAAAAAAAAAAAAGAATGAATTGACTTTGAGCATGCAGGTTGAAATAAATATTTAAAAATTTTAGAAACCGGCATTCAGACCGTTATAGATATGGCAACTCTTGGCTAGGATGAAAGTAAATGATTGAACCAGATCTAATATCTGAGTTCTTACAATTCCCTGGTATATAGTTTATTAGTATATATTGCTGTTTGTGAAATATACATAATTTCACTCTGGGATTCCCAATTTTCAGCAAAGTTGCCTCCAAATATTAGATCTATGCATTGGCAGCAAATTAGATAGATCTTTTGATTTTGCAATTTAATTCAGAGTGTGTCCATTTCTTGCTCAAAAGATGATGATTTTGTGGACTGATCTAACGGTAAATGAAAGTTACCGAGCTAGGCATCTAGAAGATCTTCAATCCAAATAAGCATGGGAATTAAAAAAAAAAAAAAAGAAAAAGAAGAAGAAGAAGAAGAAGAGAGATTAAGAACATAGATGAACAAGCAGAATGACAGCATTTATTCCTTGCTTATTAAGGTAAGTAATAAGGTTTATACTTTTGTGTAAGTATCTATATTTTGGATTTCTACAAGATTCAATGATAGCATATATATTGTACCATAACTCATCAGAGTGACTAACTTCACTGCTCCTGCAAGATTTATTTGTTATTCTAAAAACTGGATGCATGCTTTCTTGGAGCACTGCCCATCAACTGTAGCATTATGACTGCTAGAATCAATTGATTCCATCCTTAATCATGTTGTACTCTCATGTAGTCAAGATAAGATTTTCCCTGCAGCTTACGAGCAAATAGGCCTTTGTAGTATTGTTCAACTTGTACTCTCCTAAACATTGCTGGTGTGTGTTGTGAGATCACGCTTCGTGCAGGGCCTATTTCGCCATCACACCTTGGGCTGCAGAATGTGGCAACTGAGAGTCTTTCTCTTTTGGAGTTAACAGTGTTCAATGCTACGGTACATCCCATTTGTTATAATCTGCCATATGAGAGCTCACATAAGCAATACGCACGCACACACAGACACTTATGGTTGGTATCAGAAACTTATTATACAGTTGATACTGGCTCAGTTGATGATGGCCTTGGAAATTTTGTGATATATTTGCTGGTCAAATGATACTTCATTGTAAAGTCTTATAGTTTCATGATAATTATTTTACCTCTAAAATGTCTCCAATGTTTACAATGAAGGCATTTGGGAGGGGTTTAACAGGAACCCACTTCTCATCTTTCCTTATCTGGAGACCTTCTACTTCATTGACCGGAAGCAAAATTGTTAAAGCTGAAGCATCAGAATGAGGGGTGAGGCCAATGACCTGCTCAGGTGGATGACATGGAGTGTAATAGTTCACCCTCATTGCTTGCCTTCCCTCTCGACCAAAGAACTCCTTCATTTCCTCAGGCTTCAAATGAAGAGCTTGTGCCATCTTTGCTAGGATAGCCATGGATAGATTCTTCAACTCAGATGAGTAAAGATCCACTGTATCTCTACAGTACAAAAATTGAAGTTAAAGCCAATTGGGCAAAATGCTTGCATTGCCATGCAAAAGAATGTAGAGGAGAGTACCTCAAAGGAAGATGGAGCTTGGGGAACAAGTGAGGTTTCCTAAAATGGACTAGAAGAGTGATCATGTAGAAGATGTCACCCCAATCAAGCTTTTGATCATCAGATACAACAAAGGCTTGTCCGAATCCTTCAACTTGTCCAGGATACTGCCAGAACTTTTTCTTCTCTTCCATTGGAAGGTTGAAGAAGTCCTGAATCTGCGTCTTTACTTTCTCCAACAAAGCTAGGCTCACTCCATGGTTTACTAGCTGCAGGAATTCAACAAATTAAATATTAACGGTGATAACAAGATGGACATATTGGCAAACGGAGTTTATACTTTTTAAGTACAACATTATATGCATGCATGCATGCATACATATATATACATATATATAGTTCAGATGCTAAATTGAACATTTTTCTACTCACAAGGATCCCTTCTGAAATTAACGATAAAGAATAAGAGGTGATACAAATATACCGTTGATTAAGGGACCCCAGGCAGGATTTTTATTTCTAAAAGAACTCGGATTAAACAGAGGAGAGACCGTGGAAAGGAAACGGAGAGAATACTAAAATCTGCAGCTATATAAAAATCCTTAAATTTTTAGGAGAAAAAAAGAAAAAGTGAGATCAAACGGCAACCATAACAACAGGATTGAAATATGTCTCTCAACTAAGCTATTAAAGAAAAAAAAGAAGAAGAATTAATTGTGACTTTGGTTTGATAATGTTAAAGGAATGTATTAAGATTTGCCTAATGTCAAGGATTTGAGTGTATAGAGGCTTTTCACCTGGAAGAATCCCCATTCTTTACAAGCAAAATCAAGCTTGGCTATTTCAGAATCCATTGATTCTTCAGAAACCAATCTCTGCATATCAATAACTGGGATCTCCAGCACATGACCATCATCAGAAACCACAGTTTCATCAATGTCAGATCGAAGGTATCTGCTTGGAATGGTGGTTAAGGGCTGTTTAGCTAACTCTTGTACACATGGTACAAGCAGAGAACTCCCCAAAGTGGATGCTTCTGATTCCATGTTTCTGCACAAAAAAAAAAAAAATGAAACAGAAATGGAAACAGCTTTTCTTGTCAACCCACTTCAGGTTTTCAAGTAACAAACTCTGATATTAATTTACTTTCATTCTGGCAATTTGAGTAAAGTTTAGTAGTTTGTAGACGTAGGATGTTTGTCAGCTGATGACAAAAGGTTAGCCTCATGAGTAAAAAGCTAAAAAATGTTTCGCTGCTTATGACTAAATTCAACAAATGACAAAAGATAACGTCACATTTGCTGCGTTTAGATCTTTTGATCGTATTGAAGAGTCAGTTTTGGATCAGGGGTTAAGAGTCAAGTGGACCACGGTGTCCAAACTGGACCATTTTACCCTCAAAAATTTTGTTCATTCTTATATTACCCTGAAATATGTTTCTATTCACTAAAAAACTTAACATTTGTTTTTTTCTATTATGATTTTTTAGTTAAAAAATGTAAAGTAATTTTATTAATATTTAATTTAATATGATAAATAAATAAATAAATTTTATTATTATATACATCAATTTTATTATTATTTTAACTAAAAATAGATAACTACATAAATAAAAAAAATAAAAAATATTATTTGATATATTACTATTATTTTTATTAATTTTTAATTATTTATTAATAAAATTATTATTTAACCTGAAAATAATTTAATAAAATTTCAATTATTTAATAATTTTATAAATGTTAAATAATTTTAAAATTTTTTTAAATACAAATTTTAATCTAATGTTTGTATTGATCATTTTTTTCTCATTATAATTTATCGTTTATTTTAATCCCTCCAGTATAATAAATGATCCCATTGTTACAGTAATTAATGTTACTTCTATCATTATTTTTAATCTCATTAGAGTTAATTTCATTGCTCATCAAAATAGATCTTAATAATTATTTAAAACTCGAAATGATTGAACATAATTAAAAATCAAATTCAAATAATAACCAAATCAAAATCCAATATTTTTTTTATTCATCTTCTATAACAATTTAAAAGTTTTTTATTTAAGTTTTTTCTTTCATCTTAATATCTTATTTTTATTATCTTTATGGTTGAATTAATTAATTAATTTTAAGAGTATTTTTAAAGTAAAATTATAATTATAAGTAATTGAGTATACTTCTTTTTTTTTTATTTGGATTTAGAATGATTTAAATTCAATTTTTTAAACAAAAAAAAATATACATCAATTATTGAGTCAAATTTTCTTGATTGCCTAAGTGAATAATTGAATATAATATAAATAGAAATAAATTATCACTTTGATTTTTTTTGTGACTAATTGGATTATTTGATAACCTTTGATGTTAATTAGTTTAATATCTTAACATAATGAATAAAAAATCACTTTTCTTCAATCAAGGAAGAGACATAACATTGGCTTATATCTGTTTTTTTAATTAAAAACACTGTTTCAATGAAGTTTTATGCCAAACCTCCCCATCCTCAACAACCTTATTCACATATGGCTAAAGTTTTTTTTTTTTTTTTAATAAGTAATGGTTTATTCAAGTGATAAAAAATTTATTTCTCCTTTAATTATTTGTATTTGAATTTATTGAAAAGTTTTAAGAGTATAAATTTTTATAAATTTACTAAATCCACAGTAAATAAACTTATTTAAATCGGTCTGAAAAAAAATTAAAAAACTGTGCGAAACTTAAAAATCTCTTATCCCTAAAAAAATATTATATTTTTCGGATAATTACTACTCTATTATTACTTTGACAATGAAAAGCATTTTCTAATTCTAATTGTCCTAAACCAATGCATACTTTTGTTTCAGAGCACTATACACCTAATCCAGAGGGCAACATTTTTGACAGCCAAATCAACCAATTGTTGCCCCAAAGCCCCCAACATAATTTGCTATATTCTCAGGGAATCTAAATGTGATTTTTCATGCAGCTCGCGAGCAAATAGGCCTTTGACATAGTCATCTACTCGAACTCTCCTAAAAATTGCTGGTTTTTCTTGACAGATCAAGCTTGGTGAAGGGCCTACTTCTCCATTATAATTGGGGCCGCAGAATGTAGCAATTGACAGTCTTTCCTTTTCTGAATTTACTGTTGCTCGATGCTCTATGCTACGGTATGCCCCGTTTGTTACAATCTGTAATAATAAAATAATTCACAAAAGCTTTATTCATGAACTATTTTTAATTAGTTTCTTCATATTTATAAATTTATTGAGTTGTTTTCTTCAAATTTCAAGTTATTTTACCTCTAAAGCGTCTCCAATATTGACAATGACGGCATTGGGGAGGGGCTTAACAGGAATCCATTTCCCATGTTTCTTTATCTGGAGACCTTCGACTTCATTGACCTGAAGCAAGATGGTGAGACCTGAGGCATCAGAATGAGGGGCAATTCCAATTACCTGCTCTGGTTCACCACATGGAGGATAATAGTTCATCCTCATTGATTGCCATCCCCCTTCAAAGAACTCCCTCATTTCCTCGACTTTCATATTGACAGCTTTTGCTATTTGTACTAGGATGGCCATGGCTAGTTTTTCCAACTCCATTGAGTATTGATTCAAGGTATCTCTACACAAGAAAATTAATTATTTGGTGTTAGAATTAGTCCAAATTTGCAAATGCTTGTCGCCTAAAGACCCACATCCGCCTCATGCATTCAGGCCTCTCTGTACCAACTAAACTAACCCTTGTGAGTGCATCCCCAAACACACATTTATTTTTTTTTAACATAGGAGACCAATACCTAAGAATAGAGGAAGAGTTGTAGGTATTAAAATTCGAACTCAAGACCTATTCTCTTAAGAATAGTTGCATGAATTATGTGAACTAAGATCTGAGTTCACATGCACATACATTGAAAGAGAGAAAAAGGACCTGAAAGGAAGAGGGAGCTTGGGAAATAAGTGGGGCTTCCTAGATTGGACAGGGAGGGTGGTCAAGAAAAACATGTCACCCCAATCAAGCTTTTGCTCATCTGATACAACAAAGGCTTGCCCAAATCCTTCTACTTCTCCGGGATATTGCCAGTATTTTTTCTTTTCTTCCACTGGGAGGTCAAAGAAGTCTTGAGTCTCTGTCTTCACTTTCTCCACCAGAGATAAACTCATTCCATGATTTATGAGCTGCAGATGTTAACAAACTCATCAGTTGTGCTAAGAATAATCCAAGCCCCCAAGGTTCAACATCCATTACTAAAGTGCCTGGATATATTTCATGTTAAATTGACATTGTAATTTATTTACTAGTTATTATTATTATTATTAATAAATTGAAGTCTCATAAATAATGAATTTGAAACTTAACTTAATTTATTTATATAATTATTTTTAAAATTATTTTTAAACAAATTTAAAATTTAAATCTCAACATTTATAATTCTTTTCATATCCTCGAGTTGTTGTCTTTTTTATAAAGAAAAATAAAAATAATGAAAAGTGACAATTCTATGTTTACACCGATTAAAATGTTTATTTCAATAAAAGGAAAAATGGCAAGAAAACTAATAAAAAATTAATAAATTATTTGTAATTTTTTTTGGTGAAAAAAAGCTCCCCTGATTAATTCATAAAAGATTGCGATATAAAATTTTGAAATTACCTGGAAGAACCCCCATTCTTTGCAAGCAAAGTCGAGCTTGGCTAACTCAGAATCCATTGATTCTTTAGAAACCAAGCCGTCCATGTCGATAACGGGGATCTCAGGCATCGAACCGGCATCTGAAACAATTTGGTTACCTTGGTCAGGACGTAAGTACCTCGATGGAATGGTGGTGATGGGATTTTTTACCAACTCTTGAACAGAAGGAACAAGCAAGGAACTCCCAATCTTGACGACTTTGGTTTCCATATTAATTTTCTGCCACACAATAAAGTATGAACACTTTTCTCCGCTAATTTCAAGTTGTTCAGAATTTTAGAGCAAAGGGCCCGTAATTTGTAAGTGAAGACCCTTCTTTAATATATTATTTATATTTGATGCACAATTAATATATATTTATATATATATATTGTTAATGCATCATATATTCTTTAATTTGTATATGAAATTTTTTTTTAATTATATTAGAAAGATAAAATTTTAATATAAGTAAAGAGAAGATGAGAGATTTGATTCGAAATCAAATTTTTAATATTATTTTAAATATTTTTAATCATTAAATAAAAATTTAAAGACAAATACAACCACTATATATATGACTTCAATTATTTAATTTGGATAGCAACAAACTTTCTTTATTTTTAATTATTAAAGTTGAGCCCTCACCTAACCTAAATAATTAAATGATACTTTGATTTATTTAAAACAAAAATTTCTACCACTAATTTTCAAAACCAAAAACAATTTCGGATTATTAATTTTATGAGTTCAAAGTTTTGCCATAACCACATGCATTAGTTTAATGTCATTGTCCTGAGATTAAGATTTTTTCCTATGGTTTAGGGTCGTTCATTTACTCAATTTAATATTTCTAGAAGCAAGATTTTTTAGTTTTGTTTAATTTGAAATCAATAATAATAATAAAATTAATAAATTTTGTGGTAAGATTGAGAGTTGTTATGATAAAATTAAATATGTTTGACAAAAAAAAACAATGATAATAAGATGAAATTTGGTGCGATGAGAGGAAAAAATTATCACTAAAGAAATTCGTTAAGGAAAATGTTCATAATATATGTGATGAAATTGAATTGTTAAGTATGAATTTTTTTTCGTACAGGGTCTAAGTGCGTATTTATGCAAAAGTTTAATGACCTACCATGCAAATAGCCAAATTTATAGCTCTTTCTTTACAATTCTCCAATTTGAGCCCTGGCCCATAACCAAACCAAGTTAAAGCTCAAAAAGTAACTATCACAAACTCCAAAAGCCCAACCTATACAATCTCTAACCCATGATCCAAATATATCCACCCGACCCACCAAAACATTTTCTTCTCCAAAACAGAGGCAGAATTTTGCGAAGAATCCCCTTTTCCTTTGTGCGAAACAAGTTTTACTCTCTCAACTTCGTCACCTAAAATTCCATCTCCGGCCGCCGCTACTGCCGCCGTCTTCTTGGCATTCCTTTGAGATTCCGGTAGCAAACATCTGCCTTATTTTTATTTTTCCCCTCTTTATCTTTTTTTCCCCTCTTTGTTCAGCAAGAAATTATGGGTTTATGGAATTTAATTTTTATGTTTTTGGCCAGTTGGGTTTGAATTTGTTAAATAAGCTTATTGTAATTGACATACTTTAATCCAAACAAGAACAAAAAAAATTATAATTTGAAGTATTTTTTCAAATCGAAAACTTTTTTAGATTCAAAACACTAATTTAGGTCCTGCTTGGTTTTTATTTTTTACTAAGTAAAAAAGCAGAAGAGCGCGTTTGGATGTTAGCAAAGAGTAGGCTTTGAAGAATTAAAAAAAAGTACACGATTCTAATTTTATATGGAAAAATTGCATTGCATTTTTACTCAATTTTTGTTTACTTTGAATTTACGTATAGTTTTGGATTTCCAAACTCTACTCTTTGCTTTTTGTAAATTTTGAGGTAGCAAAAAGTGAATAGCAAAAGCGATAACCAAATAGAGCCTTGTTTGATTTGGTTTGATTTTTGTTTCAATTTGATTAATATCTAGTGTTTCCTCAACCTTAGTATGATTCAAGGTTGTGCATCTAAGTTATGTTTTGTGTCACTATATGGAATGAATCACATGCCATTTTATGCTGATAGTTATTCATGGTTTCCTTGCAGATAAGTTTTTGAGTGTTTCTGTTATTTGCAATGGAGAAGGATAGGTATGATAGGGAAGATGATGCTTCCAGAGAACGCTGGGATGGAGGAGCTTACATTGATGAATTAGAGCAAAATGACAAGCATCAAAGTAAGGACAAGAAGAAGAGCAGTCGAGAAGAAGAAAAGGATTACAGAAGTAGGGATAGAGAACGGGACCGTTCTAAGAGAAGCAGCGATGAGGTCTTGAAAGAAAGGGAGAAAGAGTCTTTGGAAAAGGATAGAGTGTCGACCAGGGATAGGAGGAAGGATGATAGAGATGAGCATGGGAAGGACAGAAGTAGAGATAGTAAGGTAAGGGAAAAAGAAAAAGATTATGACAGGGATAAGTATAGAGAAAAAGAACATGAGCGCGAGAGAGAGAAGGATCGAAGGGATCGAGGAAAGGAAAAGGACAAGGAAAGGGACAGAGTGTCTGAAAAGGAGAGGGGAAAGGATAAAGGTAGAGATAGGGATAGAGAAAAGGAAAAGGAAGGAGACAAGGCAAAGGAATGGGAAAAGGAGAGAGAGAAACTTAAGGATCGAGAGAACAAGAGGGAAGGTGACAAGGATAGGGATAGAGAGAAGGGAAAGGAGAGAAGTAAACATAAAAATAGAGAGGCAGACCTAGAGAAGGAGAGATCAAGAGATAGGGATAATACAGTGAAGATAAACCGTGATGAAGATTATGAAGGAAGCAGTGATGGAGAGGTTGCATTAGACTATGAAGAGCATAGGGAAAAGGATGAAGCTGAATTGAGTGCTGGAAGCAATGCAGGTGTACTGCAGGCATCTTCATCAGAGCTTAAGGAGCGCATTATGAGGTGAGTCATTTAGTTACAATTCACCTTGAATTGTCTATATTAGACAAGTTCTTACTGCTTCATTCCATCTTTTTATAAAGTGTTTATGGTAGACTTGTTACGTAAAACAAAAACTTGGAAAGGTATAATGCTAAATAAAATATTTTACTCAATAAAAAAATTAAATTTAATCAGTAACTATGAACTTCAGTTTTATAAAGAATGAATATGATACTTAAATATTTAAATATTTGGTGATCGCCAAAAGGCTTCTCTAATTAATAACTCAGGCTTATTTCTGAATTTGATGACATATTTGGTCTTTGATCTGATAGTATATCTTGGTGTATTTGCATTAATAACTGGATTTTTAAAAAATAGTTGAGTTATAAATGTGTTGAATTATAAATGCTTTTTCTTCATTACAATGCTTAAACTAGTGCAAGTATTTATCTTTGCCTGTGCCTTCTATTTATCTGCTCAGAATGAAAGAAGAAAGATTGAAGAAGAAATCTGAAGCTGTTTCAGAGGTTTCAGCATGGGTTGGTAGAAGTCGTAAGCTTGAGGAGAAAAGGAATGCTGGAAAGGAGAAAGCCTTGCAGCTTTCAAAGATTTTTGAGGAGCAGGTATATTTCTTTGTTCTTTCTTTTCTACGATACTTGATTTCTTCTCACAATTTCATTTATTTGCAAGTGATATTATTGGTAGTAATAATTAATGCTATGGAATAAATTTCTCAGGATAATTTCATTCAGGAGGAAAATGAAGATGAGGAGGCTAATAATCACACTACTCGTATGTTTTCTTTCCTTTAAGACTTTTTCTCTTTGTAATAACAATTATTTATTTAAGGCTATGTTACATGGACTCAGTGTGGGTATCCGATATGGGTATGTATCCAAGGGTTAGACTCATCATTTGCTCAAAGTTTTGGACTCATGGAGTCGGGTAAAAAAAGGTCCAAAAATGGGATATGGGTAATGGATACGTTAATTAAAAATGTCAAGAAAATATTTATTAATATTATTTCTTATGTAAATAAAATTTCCTCTCACCAAAAGACCAATAAAAATAACTTTCAGTAGATATCTTTAAATACTTAAGTTCATTTTTTCTTAAATTAATTTTAAATAGTTAAATATTTTTGTTTTCATAACCTTAATCGCCACAAATTGAAGTCCGACTTTTTATAATCGAGCAAGAGCTGAAGATATGAAAAGGCCTAAGATACAACCCTTTTGTTTTTTCCGAACCAGGTTAAGGTTAATTGCTTTGTTAAGGTAATGGGATTGTGGGGCTGAAGATTTTGAAGCCCAATCTACAATACAAAAAAACTTAATCCGGAAATTCCAGTTTCGACCTCTTCTCTTTTATAGCTGCAATCCTTCTATCTCTTCGTTCTCTTTCTTTGTCTAAAAGACGGAAAGTTTCCATTTGTCATTTTTTTGCCCTAAGCTGTCAAGTTGCAAAAGCTAAGAACCCCAATTGGCATCGACAGCAATGCACAACTACAAGGATTAGCCTAGCATCTCCCTCCATCAACCCCTTCTTTCTTCTGCTCTGTTCTTGAAGGCCTTTATGCAATTTTCGATGAAGTTGAGTCCATATTTGTAGAGGTGAGTCAGACACTGATCTCGTGTTGATACCCATATTGTGTCGTGTTGACATGGGTATGGGACCCTAAAGTACCGAGACCATGTAAAAGAGATTTAAAGTAGTCATCTGATATTGAATAGAAAAGTAGAGCAGCATACTGTTAGTGCCCTATTCATCCATTTTTGTCCTTTTTGTGATTTCCAAACCAAATGCTGAGACTAAATATGTGAACAACTGAATTATAAATAAAGCTGATAATTTAGGATATTGGTTATTGTTCTGGATAGATGTACATTTCTTTATTGTTGTTTATATACCATTTCTCCACAATCTGTAACATGATTCCTGATTGGTAGGCCAAATGCTGTTCTTATGGCCGTAATATTTTAGGGTATTGTTCATTGTCCTCAATAGGAGCCAATTTTTCATTTTAACTGTCATGACTTTTTTTTTATACTTGTATCCCAGCATCTGATCTGATTGTTTCATTTTTGTATTGACAATCTGTCAAACAGATGATCTAGCAGGGGTTAAAGTTCTTCATGGCCTTGACAAAGTGATGGATGGTGGAGCAGTTGTTTTGACACTCAAAGATCAGAGTATACTTTCTAATGGTGACATTAATGAAGGTACAAGTGTTGGGTGCTACTTCTATATGTTTTGGCTATGTTTGTGAGGTGACGTAGATTTTTGTGTAACAGAGCTTTCTGGTATGATCCGACAGATGTTGATATGCTCGAAAATATTGAAATTGGAGAGCAGAAGCGGCGGGATGAGGCTTACAAGGCTGCAAAGAAGAAAACCGGAGTTTATGATGACAAGTAAGAATCTGTTTCTATAATGTGTTAATTTGTGTGCGTATCTGTTGATGAATGTGCATCTGCTTAATTTTAGCAAATTTATACTTAATCTCAAACTACTGTGGGTTGGCTACATGAGTGATTTTCCTTTTCTTTACCAAACAGTTAATGCCATACAATTTGAGAAACAGCAGTTATTTCAATCCATCTTACTAATTGATGTTGAACAGGAAATAGGGGTTGTATCACATCAGCAAGAAATTTGTAAAATCTTGCATGGAACAAGAAACTAAGGATTCGAGACAAATTTTAGCATTGGCTCAAAAGGATGGGAAATGGGGCCATTTAAACTTTTTGTTAGTTTTGGTATTGGAATAAGATTGGGTTGGAGAAATTGGGTTTTAGAAGACTACTTAGAAGCTCTTTTTTTTTCGTATGGTGAACACTAATTTAGGGTTGAGGATTGAATCTGGTTGGGTGATTGAGGTAGCAGTAGTTGAAATTAAGAGAAGTATGTATGGTTTCTGGCCATGTTTTGAATCTTAATTCTCAGTGATCACAGCAGAAAATTGAATAGAGAAGAAGAAATCCATAAGGTTCATACTAGGGTTCTTTAGGATTCACACAAGGTGGATTGCTTTACACATTTGCAAAAGTAATAATACTTGGAAAATTGTTTGATACTAATTCTGTATCCCAAACTCCTTGGAAATAAGAACTTTAACAAATGCTTTTTATAGTTTAATTTGTCATAATTTGGGTTCGAAATTGTGATAATGGTTGAAATTTGGTGGTTCTTGGGCCTCTTGGGTGGATTTTGGGGTTATGAGTTTCGCATATACAGGTATAAAGCTATGGATTTAGGTGATGTTAGTTGTAGTGAGTTTTCTTTATTTAGGTTTGCAAATTTTCTTGCATTCTCTCTCTAGCCTAACAGAGGCATTTGTTTTGTGGAATCTAAAATTGTTTTTCTGAGGTGAATAGGCTGAGAGTGAGAATGGGGGAGGAAGAAGAGAGGAAGAACAAAGAAAAAGAGAAAAAAAGGGGTGGGCATGACTGCTGATGGAAAGCTTGACGCTACAGTAAATTGATGGTGGGCAGTGGATGCTGGAGACAAAAAGAGGGATAAGCTGGTCAAGAAAAATGGAGAAAAAAGAAAAAGAAGAAAGAACAAATGAAAAAAAAATGATAACCTTTACTTAATTTGTCTTTTAAATCTAGTTCCACTTGTCCTTTTCTAGCGACGTGGCTGGATCTAATGTATATAAAGGATTCTTTAATCATTTTACCTCAATTTAGTAAAATCAAATATGTGAAATCCTAGATTAAACAAAATAATTGGTCAAGTCTTTCATTGACTTTTTCTATCGAAGTTTAGATCCTAGTCTGGTTATTTAACCTTATGTTACAGTGTACCCTTTTTTTAGTATAATTTACTTATTAGCAAATTTAGTATTTACTTTTAATATGGATTCTGCTGATTTAGGTTCAATGATGAGCCTGGTTCAGAGAAAAAAATACTGCCACAATATGATGATCCTCTTGTGGATGAGGTTAGTTTATAAGCGATATCGTCATCCTTAATCTTTCTTTTCCTTTCTGAATTTCCATTAAAATCTTTTCTTTCAAAATTTCCTTGTATTTTGTTGGAAGAAAAGTGGCATTTGGTAATGGTGGCTGTTTGCACTTAATGTTTATTTTCAGGGGGTAACTCTGGATGAAAGGGGGCACTTTACTGTTGAAGCAGAAAAGAAATTAGAGGAGGTAATGTGTTTTTAATAGCCTTTTTGAGTTGTTATTACAAACATATTTTAACACTTTCCTGCTAATGATGTTCCCTCCTTATTTTCTTTTCTCTAACTTGGCAGCTCCGGAAAAGGTTACAAGGCGTTCCTACGAATAACCGTGTTGAAGATCTTAACAATGCTGGGAAGATTTCATCAGATTATTATACCCAAGAGGAAATGCTTCGATTTAAAAAGCCCAAAAAGAAGAAAGCTTTGCGGAAGAAAGAGAAGTTGGATATAGATGCCCTTGAAGCAGAAGCTATCTCTGCAGGGCTGGGTGCTGGAGATCTTGGTTCTAGAAATGATGCTAGAAGACAAGCAATTAGAGAGGAGGAGGCCAGATCTGAGGCTGAAAAGAGAAGTAATGCATACCAAGCAGCATATGCCAAAGCAGATGAGGCATCTAAATCACTGCGGCTTGAACAAACTCTTATTGTCAAACCTGAGGAAGATGAAAATCAAGTGTTTGCTGATGATGAAGAGGATCTTTATAAATCCCTTGAAAGAGCAAGGAAATTAGCTCTTAAAAAGCAAGAAAAATCAGGTCCTCAAGCTGTTGCGCTCCTTGCTACCACAACTGCTAGCAGTCAAACTGCAGATGATCAAAATATCTCAACTGGAGAGGCACAAGAAAACAAGGTTGTAATCACAGAGATGGAGGAGTTTGTATGGGGTCTTCAGCTTGAGGAAGGTTTGGTTTCTTTCGAAATCTATGCTACTATAATCTTGTTTAAAGCATCGCTACTTGTTTTTTTGTCTGCTGCCAGCTACTGTAATCATCTGTAAAAAATCTGGATTATCATGTGGCTTCACAGGTTCCTGCTCTGGGTAGGTGCATGGAATGTTTTAGGTTCTAGATTTTCTACCAGTAATATGCATTTTTTTCTCTTAATTTTGATCTTATTTTTGAATATCTCCCTCTTTTTTCCATTTTCCCGCACATGCCTCTATCACACCAGCCTAGTTGACTTCTTTTTCTTTCAATAATAAAAAAATGAATCTGATGTTTGTGTTCCTGGTAAATAATAACATTTACTGTTGCTTTGGTCTTCAGAAGCCCATAAGCCTGACAGTGAAGATGTTTTCATGGATGAGGATGAAGTGCCGGGAGCCTCTGAACTAGATAGGGAAAATGGAGAAAATGAGGTGGGTGGATGGACAGAAGTTGTTGATACTAGTGCAGATGAAAAGCCTGCTAATGAGGACAAGGATGAGATTGTTCCAGATGAAACCATTCATGAAGTTGCAGTTGGTAAAGGATTATCGGGTGCACTGAAGCTGCTTAAAGATCGAGGAACGCTTAAGGAAGGTATTGACTGGGGTGGCCGGAACATGGACAAGAAAAAGAGCAAACTTATTGGCATTGTAGATGATGATCGTCAAAGTGATAGATTTAAAGATATTCGCATTGAGAGGACAGATGAATTTGGTCGAATTGTAAGTACTTCAATCTGATCCATTGTATTCTTTAGTGTGTCATGTGATTTGGGTTCTGTTATATGTTGTGCAGATGGTTTGGTTTAGCATTCTGTGTTATGCATGGAAAGGTGGGGCCTCTCATTGATTGGGAACAATGAAGATCACAGGCTAGATCTTCTGTCTTGCATACTCATGACTTTAACCAAATATGCTGAGACCACATTTCTTGCTAAACATGGTTCCTGTTTTAGACAGACAATTTGTATCTCCCAGTGTTATTTATTGACAGAAACTTCCCGTGCAAAATAGACCAATAATTAGTTTTTGATTTTTTTTTTTCAATTTGGCTTGGTGAATAATGTAAAATAACAGAGAAACCTAAATGTGTCAAGGATTAGAAATGTTTTAAGCTAATGACCCTGCTGAAATGTACTGTTTTTTATATCAAATTTGTGATCTAGAACTAGTCCAATGTTTATATATTCAATAAAAATGTATTTGTTGTTATATTTGCATTTTAGCTTGCAAAATATGACTTTCATCTTCTGCAGATGACTCCCAAGGAAGCCTTCCGGATAATTTCTCATAAATTTCATGGTAAGGGGCCAGGCAAAATGAAGCAAGAGAAACGGATGAAGCAATATCAGGAAGAATTGAAGCTAAAGCAAATGAAAAATTCAGATACACCTTCACTTTCAGTGGAGAGGATGAGGGAAGCTCAAGCTCAGCTGAAAACACCCTACCTTGTCCTTAGTGGTCATGTCAAACCAGGGTATGTTTTTTTTTTTCTTAGGTCAATTTGTGATCTCTGCTGGCTGAGTTTAAACTAAGATTTTAGTTCAAGAAGTGAAGCAAATTCATGTTTCATATCAGCTACTACCTGTAGCTACAGAACAACATCCCCCCCCGCGAAGTCTCGTTTTCTTAACCTCCACCTTTTGGATGGAGATAGTCAAAGCTTCATTTGTGTTATATTAGGCAGTATTTTTTATGGTGTCTGTGCAGTGGGGGGGCAGTATTTAGAGTTATGTTGGTTTTTATCTGATGATGTGCAGTTCAGTCTCTGTTGCCATTTCTACTTTGTATGTAGAGTCAAACAGTAAATTCAATATGATAGGATCTTCAATTTTTATTTTCTGAATGGATATTTTACAATCTTGGTACTTGAAATCAACTCGGTCCTCTCCTTTGGTAACATTTCTCTGATTTGGGGTTTGCGACCTTGTGGCTATTAGTCTGATGTGCATTTACTTGGACTTGTCCTTGTGGTTAAATGAAGCTTGAGCTACCATTTCTGCTGTTGATATGGCTTGCTATTGCATATAATTTTGATCACTTATTAATTTAATTGTTTGTTTATTACATTTGAATGGATTGCAATTTTTCCTCATTTCTTTCACGTGTAATTATTTTCCAGGCAAACAAGTGATCCTACAAGTGGCTTTGCCACTGTTGAGAAGGATTTTCCAGGAGGGTTGACACCTATGCTTGGCGATAGAAAGGCAAGTTGATTCTTAACTTGTACATAGATTGTCAGCATTACAAGATACTAAAAACCGTAGAATCTTTTTCTTTGCTCAGATGCTTAGAATTCAAGCAAATGGGAAGAACTTCCTGACGTTCTGGTTATTTATTTATTAAAATGTGACACTATTGCCAATTATGATGTGAAAGTCTTTATTAATTGGGATGATTCCCAAATTCAATATTAAGTTTTTATTGGTGCCTCAAAAAATTAAACTTCTATTTTTATGATTTTTAAGTTGGAAAAAAACATAACACTACTTTAACATACTAGCAGAAGATATTAAGTTTGTTTATCATTTTTTTTTTTTATCATTCCAACAGGTAGAGCATTTCTTGGGAATCAAGCGCAAGGCTGAGCCAGGGAATTCAAGCACACCGAAGAAGCCCAAAACTTGAAATTTGGATTTTTTTTTAATGATATTTTAAGCTGGCATGAATGCTGGTAAGAAGTTATGTTGGGATATTAATTACCGTGATGGTGCAATTTTCATACGAAGAGACTGATTTTGCCCATTCTTGAGGCGATGACCATCGTTGTCTTGTGGAGCTTGCTGCAAATAAGTCTCGTAGTTTCAAAATACATGATAATGGTATTTTTTTTTCCTCATTTTATATTTTTGGCAGAATGTTTGTCAGCTGGAGTCATAACATAAAGCGTCGTTCAGCTTGAGATGCTTGTTATCTTCACTTTATATTCATTGTTACAAACAGTTTAAAATCTGCAAGGGAAAATATTTGCATTAGAGAATAGCGTTTGTGAGTACAGTATACTAGTAAACAGAAGCTGAAGCATAGAATCCTATATTCCTATACAGTATTATAAGGAATTATACGATTAAGTTGCTGAGTAAAACAAAATTATTGGTTTACCTATTACTATGATCCTTGAAAGTTGAATCCACCATTCATGATATGGATGAAACCCATGAAAAATGATGCTTCTCTTTGCTAGGATCATCTGCAAATGCATTACAAACTCCATAGGCTCAGACTTGATATGGGGGAGATGAGCCTTGATCCTCATTCCCCCACGTAGCAGAAGCAAGACTGACCAAGTTTCCCAATTGAATCCTCTTTTCATTTTCTCTCTTACCGACCCCTACCCCCCACTTCCCGCTAAAATTTGGCCATTGCAGCATTCAACTCCTCACAGCACTTTTTTAGTATTTTAAAACATGGCAGGATACGTACGAATTGCACTAGCCACTCCTTTAAGCTAAATTTCCTTACCTCCTTTTGATATATGTTTGCTAAATTCATTTTCTGCCCAATTGCTTGGCAATTCAAGCATTAGCTTTACAATTTTTTTCTTTTTTTCATTTTTTTTATATGCAATCCTTGAAATATGCTTTTATTTCAAGCTATGCTATAAGGGATTGCATGTGTTGCTACTGCTTAATCACAAGCTCTTTGTTTATATTTCCATAAAACCTATTTGTAGGTGGAATCAACGTGTAATTTCTTTTTTTTTAGTATTATTATTAAAAATGCTGTTGAATACAAACGGGAATTTAGCTAAATGCATTTGTTTCTTACTGATGTTCATCATAAAAGAAAGACCATGAATGTTTAGTTCTCAATCCACATTTATTACCAATTGAGTCAATTGATTTGTGGCTTTGACGATGCTATACTCATAGTATCAAGGTAAGATTTCCCATATAGCTCACGAACAAATAAGCCCTTGAAGTTTTCTTCAACCCTTTAATGTTTTAAACAATGCTGGTTTTTGTAGTGAAATCAAGCTTGGTGCTGGACCTACTTCACCATCATATCTGGGCCTGCAGAATGTAGCAATTGAGAGTCTCTGTCTTTCAGAGTTCACTGTTGCACGATGTTCGTTGCTCCGTTAAGCTCCATTTGTCACCATCTACCCACAATATGATAATTTTAAAATGAAGCATGTGATTAAGTAATAAATGTATCCGAGCATTTAGCTTCAAAGAGTGTAGTTTGAATCTTCCGTAACCGATATAAGAAAAAAAATTATGCTGATATCCTTGGAAAATGTTTCTTAATGCTTTAACAAATCAGACTTATGCTTCTCCAAAGTGAATTGATGAATGATTATTACCTCTAAAATGTCTCCAACATTGACAATAAAGGCATTGGGAAGGGGCTTAACCGGTGTCCACTTCCCATCTTTCTTGATCTGGAGACCTTCAACTTCATTAAGCTGAAGCAAGATAGTTAGACCAAAAGCATCAGAATGAGCTCTAAGGCCAATGGCTTGCTGTGGTTGAGGACATGCAGGGTAATAGTTCATCCTAAATGACTGCACTCCTCCTTCAAAGAAGCCATTCATTTCTTCAACTTTCATGTTAAGTGCTTTTGCCATCTTTGTCAATAGAGTCATGGCTAGAGTTTTCAATTCCAAAGAGTAAGAATCCAATGTATCCCTACATTCAAAATTAAAAAAAAAAATCAAGTGTCTCCATTTTCATGTAGAAAAAGTTTTAATCTGATCATTGAGTTATAAAATAGCTCGTATTGTTATGTAGCTCGACTATTCGATTAATTTTTTTTTTCCTTCTTTTCCCTTTTTTTTTTTTTTTTTGCGTATCAAATGAGTGTTAAAAAGAAGAGAGAGAATTGGAGAGGACCTTAAAGGAAGAGGGAGATTGGGGAATAAATGGGGTTTTCTGAAATGGACAGGGAGGCTGGTCATGAAGAAGATATCACTCCAATCAAGCTTGTGCTCCTCTGATAAAACATTGGATTGGCCAAATCCTTCTACTTCTTGATATTTTCAAACCGTTTCTTATCCTCTATTGGGAGGTTGAAGAAGTCTTCAATTTTTGTCTTTATTTTCTCCACTAGAGAAGAGCACACTCCATGATTTAGCAACTATACAAAGTAAGTTTCTAAACCTAAATTAAAAAAAAAAAAAAACTTTGAAGTACATCAAAATAATGATTTACTGTTTCTTTTCTTGCCCTTTTTCCTATCTCTCTACTCAATTTCTTTTCATTAATAAGCTCTTATTGTTTTAATGCAATTAATTAGATCTTCAAATATTTATTTTCATCAACTAAATTTTTATTAGACAAAAACTAATTAATTATCAACATCTATTTTCTTCTAATGAAGGTTTTATTTGAATAAAAATAAATGTTTAAGAGCTCAATTGAATAAAAATAAATATTTAAAAATTTAATTAATTATACTAAAATGATAGGGGGTTAGATGATTTTTTTTTATTTTAGTTTATGGATTTTTTTTAATATTTAAACCATATTAGTATTACCACAAATTGTTAGTACAATGTCACAAACAAATGAATCATACAAATTCCATTTAACTTACACTCTATCAATACTACCTAGCATGATAAAAATATCAAGCACAATTTTGAATTAAAATAATTTATGTGAATGAAAAATTTTTATTAAATATAATATTTTGAACAAAAATAAGAATATTTAAGTTTTTTTAAGTAATTAAAAGATACATACACTTATTATAGGATAAATATTCGAAAGGTATATATATGAATTTATTTTTAAATAATGATAGTGAAATTATTTAACGTCACAAACGAAATTAAAAAATATCACAGTCCTATTATTTTAATTATTTTTTTATTATTTTAAGATATATGTATCATCAAGTTAATTTTGTTTGGGAAATTTAAAATTTTAATTTTCAATAAATGTGATAATTTCACTACAAGGATTTTGATTTTTAGCGGCGTTTTTTTTATCGTTTAGCAGCGTTTATTAATGCCACTATAAGGTTGGGCGTTTGCGAAAAAATGTCACGCAGAGTGCCGCATATACACGCGTCGCGATAAATAGCGCATTTTCAAAAAAAATGCCTCAATATTAGCAGCGTTTATATCAGAAGCACGCCATTTTAGTGGCATTTATATCTTTGAGATGCCGCTACTTTATAGGCATTTGAATTTGAAAATAGCTTAATATTAACGACGTTTATATCTTTTAGTCGCCATTATTTTAGTTACTTTTTATGAGAAAAACGTCGTTGCATTGATGGCATTTGTAACAAAAAATGTCACTACTTTAGAAGCGTTTAAATCTAAAAACGCCTCAATATTTGTGGCATTTGTATCTTTTGGGCGCCGCTAATTCAGTTGCATTGTTATGAGAAAAACGTCGTTACTTTAGTGCGTTTCTATAAAAAAATGTCACCTAACTAGCGGCGTTTGCTGAAAATAGCACCTCTACTTATAGTGCATTTTATGCTACAAACACCACTAAATTATTCATTTAACGGTATTGCCCAACGCAAACGCCGCATAAAAATGTTTTTTTTTTAGTTTCTTATAATAAATTTTATTTTCAATAAAGAGCTTAAATTCAAAAATTGAAATTAATATTAACTTCATTCATGTTTAAATATACATCTAATTAATACAAAGTTTAATAATTAGTATAATAACATTCAAATATGATAAAAACAATAACCAAATAAAAAATTAAAATGTATGAAATGGATGACTATATACATTTTCCTGGTTGCCAATTGATGAAGAAAATTTTTCACCTTGGTAACTAGCGTGCTCAACAACCTACTGAATAATACATATAATTTTTAACACTTCATTGTATGCTTATTTTTTATTTAGAAATTTTAATATTTACTAAATATAATACCTGAGTTGATGAAGCATCAAGATCATTTCCTAGAAATTATTGTTGCACAAAATTCATAAGATGATCGAATAATCATGCAACTGTTGAAATTTTACATGCTCTACCTCTATTCTAGCACGTTCTTCTTCAATTTTGGCACGCTTCTGTTCTCTTTCTTCTTCTATTTGCTGAAAACATTATTGCATAGTTTGTAACTCCCCTTTCAATATTGAAATGTCTCGCGAAGACTGACTTGCTGAGAGTGTAAATTACGAAGGGTTATATCCATAGTAGGCAGATGGTGTTGGACCCAATCTAAGGCCTCGGACCCGTCCATGCCTTTCTTTTCCAACAACTTCTGTGAATATCCGATTTTTCATTTCTTGCATGTTGAGAGAACCTTCAGATGCTACTTCAATCTCAGCAGCCATTTTCTTTTCGCTTTCTCTTGTGAATTTGTCATATTCAACTATCAAGTTTAATGATTAATTGATTATATGTTAAAAAGAGTTAATTTTTACTTTATGTTAAAATAGATGATACAAATTACTATAATTTCTTGTGTTTCGTTATTCATGTAAGAGCCGTCTTTTTTTTGTGTGTTACGCGAAAAAGTTTCACACGTCCAATTGTATCGTCCATCTCATTTCCTATACAAAAATATATGTTATTTGATAAGATACATATCAACCGTAACTTATTTATGCATATCAATCCTGTCAACCAAGTATTAAAATTTTGAATAACTTTAATCTCCTTTATTTATATTTTGACCCTGTAACAACACAATAGTCTTAAATATATGCAAAGAATAAAAGCATTTTGGGCTTTCACACATATCGATCATGAAAACCAAATTCAATTATTTTTTTTCGATTTAATATGAAGGATTGAAGCCATTCAATATGTTGAAAGGCATCCAAAATTTATTTGTATATTTACCTTTTATATGTAAAAATATTCTCAAACAGACATAACTGATAACTTTTTCTCTCATATCAAGCATAGAAACCAAGTTCAATCAATCGACAAGCTTAATATCAAGTATTGAAACTATCAAAAGTGTTAAAATACAACAATAACAACAACCAGATAATAAAGGAGTAAATATACGTAAACAGTAACTTTCTATATATATCATCTATGTAACTAAGTTTAAAACTTTCGATAAGTTTAATATCATGTATTGAAACAATCAAATCTATTAAAACATAACAATAAATGTTAATTTTCATATTTACCTTTTAACGGCAGAAAAAGTTCATTCATTGGAATAAGTTAATTATCATAAACTTATGATTTCTTTTTGTTTTCTTGCAAAAATTTTTGATCCACTTGTGTGACTATATTTCTGTTGTTTTCTGCTACCAATCCCAATCTGCTCTCTTTTCTGTTATAAAAATAATTATGTATATGATAGAAATATAAATATTACCAACCGAAACCATCAAACACTTTCATCATTTAATTCTATTATACAAAGTTATAAACTAGTATCTCTCATTTTCTTGAGAACCAAAATCTAACTAGTTATTCATATTGTCACCTAATCACATTACGGGATAGATTTTGCATCATCGCCTCTACAGTAGTATTTCAATCGAAATACTTATTCTTCAAACTATGCTTATAATCTTTCCATTTCTTTCCTAATGACTTAAGCACAAATGAAATTGGTATTT